AATTAAATCTCAACATGGGCATACTGGCATCCGCGTACCAGGTAAACATTTCGTGGTATCCAGCTGACTGCACTGCGACATCAAGTGTTCCAAAAGGGGGGTTGGTACCCTCATGACACCCCAGTTACTGTACAAAGGCAGGTGTGGTGTCCGCTGCTGTCATCAGGAAGCATGATGTCGATCGTTTGTCGATCGAGTGGGTGAGTATGGTTTTACGCCGCTTTTAGTTATTTTCCCGCAATATCACGGCAGGGCACACCAGAAATGGGCTTCACACTTTGTACCCATGTCGGGAATCGAACCCGGGTCTTCGGCGTGACGAGCGAACGCTTTAACCACTAGGCTACCAGACCGCCCCTCGTGTGTTTAAAACAATTTTGGTACACCTACTAGAAGATTGCAATCAAACATTTTAAGAAATATGTCTTAGTAAATTTACAAAATTGTTTACCACAAGTATGCACGGGACGTGAATGTTCAGAATTTAGATCCAATATGTACCTTTATTTTATTGGGGGCGATTGGGTCTATAAACAATGGAATCAGGCAAACAAGTGATTGATATAATGAACAAGTTTAGAGCCCCGTTCCATGCCCTTAGTGTATGGCGACACGAAATCACCTGAGTCCACCATATTCGTTTGCTGCAATGTCGTATCGATGAAATGCGAAATAGATATAAATCCGAAAGGGACAATTCATCTTAAACTGTTTCAAAATTATTTCCTTGTCCTTACCAACTCGTCACCATAATTTCAGACATTGTGAGGGTAGAAAAGTTGTTTAACAAACTCTCATTGTTTGGTTTTAAGGCCTGTTGTTACAAGAGGCGGTCGGGTAGCCTAGTGGTTAAAGCGTTCGCTCGTCACGCAGAAGACCCGGGTTCGATTCCCTCGTCCCTCGTCGTGATATTGCTGGAATATTGCTAAAAGCGGCGTAAAACCATACTCACTCACTCACAATAAAGCATGTGACATTGATCTAATTTACAAAATTATCTCCCCTGTTTAGTAAAATGCGTATATATTTCTGTACCCTTTCAGCCCATAAATTATTGGTGAGAAATACTCTTTTAAGCTGGTATTGCCAAACACTGCCTAATTGTGAATAAAAATAACCTTTGTGTCGAGATAACCCATAAATGTCCCATTAATATAGAATTTTTACTTTGTCTCTTTCAAACTGGCAAATATTTGAAATTGGCATGTTTCGCCACCTAAAAACATTAAACAGAAAGTGTTTTAGATTTCCTGGGTGTATTTCAAAGTCTTAAGTAAATGAATCATTAAACTTAAGTGTAATTTTCTTTCATGTTGTGGTATTAAAGTGTTTTCGTCTATTTAAGGGGCTACTTCCCTTTATCGGCTGTGATAGACGGTATGGTTCACTGGTCAGTGTTTGAGATTGCTGGCCACTATCCACTTTCTGGTAAAGTTCATTACCTAGCCTCATATGTATGAGAAGGTTAAAGCTGCTTAATGTGTCCCTGGCCAATTTCTGGCCTGAATTCCATGCTTTCTGTCCAAATTTGAATAATGTTTCTGATTTCTTACCATGTGTACTTATGTCACCAGGTTATATCAGAGGTGCTTCTACTTTTGATTTTGGGAGTAAAAGAAAGCACAAACATTTGTGTTAGCCCTGTGTTGCTAGATGATTTACCAAATGTGGACAGTCATAGGGTGTTTGATAGTATAAACAATGCAGGGATGTAAATTCGAACAATCCCAATCACATCATGTTTTTACGGTCAAAACCATATTCCATGAATGTTGAAGACTCTGCTATGATCTGATGATATAAACACAGGAAGGCAAACAACTGACCATTAATGAATTTGAAGTTTCTATTTTTATTTATGTTGAGGTTTTAAGATTTGTTCATTTTTACCAGAATTTGGACTTAGTCTCAAAAGGGTGGGGGTAGGTGTCGTTTCTGTAGCACAACTTGAAAACTGTGAGAAAATTTTCATCCAAACTTGGTACATGTATTAACCAAGTGGTGCCTTTTGCTATTTAGGAATTTTAACAAAAGATAATTTTTCGTCTCCATGGCAACAAGTTTGACTTTGACTCCTCTGTTTATAGTTGTGTGTTTGTCTGGACTATATATCTAAAACTAATAGGTATTCTTTCTTGAAACTGTGCACACACAAAGACCAGGTTATCGACGGCGTGGGTCGTTGCTCATTATATCAATCACAGGATTTTCCGGTCCAGACTCCATTGTGTACCATTTATGTCCGAGCTACAACACAAAAAATCACCTGGAAACAAACACTCACAATAGACAATAATCCCTCTCCATAATAAGGCGGGGCTTCTAAAAGATATACAATGTACATTGATGTTTTTCGGCTTTTCAACTATGCCTAGAGTGAGTCGCAGTGAATACTAGAAAGACTGGATTATCAGTGTTGAAGGTATGTAATAACTCGGGTTCCTGAAACCAATGATTGAGAGTGTGAGCACCGCTTCAGGGTATGACGATACACATTCAGCCAGGTTATCCGTTTTCATTGATCCTCCGTGGTTCTTATTTCTAGGTTGTGGTATATGTTTTCTTTTTAGGTTTTCATTTTCAAAATATTCCAAACTGAACAATATCATATATTTCGGATAGTTTTTGATCATGTTGGTACACTATCTATTTTGACGACTTGTATTTGTAGATCTAATCCAGTCCAAACATAATGAACTGTCAAGGCAAGTCTTTTATTCGTATGAGTGAGTGAGTGAGTATGGTTTTACGCCGCTTTTAGCAATATTCCAGCAATATCACGGCGGGGGACACCAGAAATGAGCTTCACACATTGTACCCATATTCGTATGAAGGCCACTGGCCCCTATACAGATAAAGTGCATATATACATATTACAATGGTACATGAAATCATAGGTAACTAACATCAGAGTATTCTTGTGTTTGCAAAACTTTGCCTCGTTTCATAACTTTGACATAGATATTTACCTTTGCTGGAGAGGTGAAAAACACACTTTTCTCAAATATCAAACGATGTAAGTGCATTGCTCGTTGAAAAGCTCTCCAAATTCTCAGACGTGTGATACCAAATCCTCGTTAGGGAAATACAACCATTTGAAGGTGTTCAAATTGATGTAAAAGGCCTCTGTTAGGGTGCTACTGCACGCGCATGCGCGACACCATGGTGGTTATTTTAACATAGTTGCATAGCAAATGTAACCCTTTCAATGTTTCAAAAGATTTCAAAAGATTCGGTCACTGCACAGTGCTTCAAAAAAATACATGCACATTTACGCCAAAAACGAAAATTGGCACGTTTCTCAAACACAGACAGTCAGATTTATTTGTATAAGGCCATTTGACCCATTGTACAAAATACATTTACATTTGTGCAGCCCATACATCCCCCAAACCATTATGACTTAGCAAAAGTCTGATATGCGATGCCCAGTTAGGACGTTTTCTATCAGCAATGGATAATAACATTTTATAACACTGGTATGGGTATCTGTTTGGACTCATTTGCAAAATCTTAAACCAATATTTAATGCATTTTACATAATAAATAGTATGAAGTGGATACCTACCACATTCACCATAGGCTACTGCATTTGCAGTCCTGTAGCCCGTGTGAAGTAAAAATTTACAACATTTGCGGTGAACAATTTCAATCGTATTCCATTTTTGGTATCCCCAAATCTCGGCACCATACATTAATATCGGAACAATTCTTTTATCAAATATAAAGAATGCTTCCGTAACCGAAATGTCATACCGTCTTATTAACGATTTAACTGACCAAAGTGCTTTATTTACTTGCTCACATAAAGTTTTACAGGCCTTAGTCCAAATTAATTTGGGAGTGAAAACAAGTCCCAAATATTTATAGGCACTAACCGTATTCATACGTTCACCGTTATAATACCATTTCTCATTTCTTGACAAGGGTCCTCCCATTTTAAACACAATAATTTTACTCTTTTAAGTATTAATATCCATACCCCATTTATCAGAGTATAAATATAATTCATCAAGACGTTTATGTAATTTTAATACACTGTCTGCAACAAGTATTAAATCAAACAGCAGGTCAATTATATTTAACATTTCCTCTGAGATAAAAACACCATCCTGGAATTTACTTTCCAAACATATAACTAATTCGTTGATAAACAAAGAAAACAGTACTGGACTAAGAGTACAACCTTGTCTTACCCCACATAAACTATCAATATACTCAGTAATTTTCTTGCCATAATCGTATGTTACAGTTGCTTTAACATGATTATACATACTCTGGATAATACATAAAAACTTGCCATGAATCTCAAACACACAAGATATACCAATGTCTTTGCTGACTTGGATGTATTTTTGCTGGAGAAGTGAAAAAAACAACACTTTTCTCAAATATCAAGCGATTACAGTGCACGTTGGGTCGTTGGAAAGCTCTCCAAATTCTAACAATCCGACACACCTGTAACGGGTCGTTAGGGAAATACAACCGTTTGAAGGTGTACAAATTGAAATCAGAGGCCTCTGTGAGCCCGACACAATGGTGGTTATTTTAACATAGCTGTATAGCCAATGTACATGTAACTCTACATTGTATATATATCCAACAAAGCGACGGCAACAGATGGAAGGGAAATTAGAGTTATGTCCCTTAGTGTGTCGTCTGCTCGAATTGTAACATAATTTTACTCCTACTCTTATGCTATAGTTTTATAAATGAAGGAAGTCTATATTTAATTTAAATGTAGCTGCTTGTTTCGGTTCTCTTATTCGATAAAAATCATATATTTTCAGAGATTAGACGTTTGTATACCCAATAAACAGTAACATCAATTTATTTTCACTCTACGACTCTCAACACCGTGTGACGAGATATTTTATCCGAAATCAAAATATGTTTTAATAATGTATTTGATCCGCAATATTCTCCGGATACAAGAGCGAATATTTATGTGTATGTCTATATCTGTCACTGGGTTTTTCCATTTGGCAAAGCGCCAAGATCTTATTTTTACTTTCGTTTTAGTCAGATAACAGGGCCCGACAAGGAAGCTCTTGTCGGTTGTATTTCACGTTAATAATACAGTAATCCGTTAAGGGTTTCCCGATCACAACATCAAGATATTGATTGGAACCTTCAAGGTAAGCTAGAACGAATCTACAGTAGTGTTACCCCCCGGTGTTAGAATTGGTTCCAGCAGCTTATGTGTGTGTGTGAAGATGCGACTTTGAGTGGGTGGTCAAGCTCCGGGACATTGTTTCATTGCGTGACATCGTTCCCCGACAGAGCGTTGCGTTGCTCATAATGTAAGACTCTGATATGATCGTTATTAAACGTCTCCCTTGTGTACAGCGAAAATTGTAATAAACACAATATATTGAAATGAAAAAGAAAGCGTATACAATTAATCGATTAGCTACAATGTTTGTTGGCTACAGCTGACGTGCATGGGTATCTTTCTGCAGGCATGAATATGAGTTCTGGGCAGGCCACATTGCTATTAATAAAACAGCCATTTGTGAATGACCTTAACCTTGTTATCATTGCTTCGTTAAGTATGCAGTACCCACATTCATATGTTTCTTGTCATAACAGTTTTGTGATTTGTGTGACTAACGGCCCAGCCGACCGTGACCCGCCTTCGCAGTGTCAAACATGCTGAACAATATGCGTGACAATGTTGTCTAGCTAGCTGTACATTGCACTTAGCTGGAGCTCCTGTCAAAAGTAAGGTCATCTCAGTGTACAACGCGGGCGTCAAGTGACGCGCGTGTGTGTGTGTGTTTGTGCTAGCGTGTTTGTGTGCGTGTGTGTTAGTGTGCGCGTGTGTGTGTGTGTTTGTGTGCGTTAATATTTTCGTATGTATGTATGTATGTGCGTGTGTATGAGTGTGTGCATGTCTGTGTGTATGTATATATGCGCGTGTGTGTGCGTGCATGTGTGAGTGCGTGCGTGCGCATGTGTTCTTGTGTATGTGAGTGCGTGTGTGTGCGTACTTGTGTATGTGAGTGTGTGTGCGTGCCTGTGTGTGTGCTTGTGTATGTGAGTGTTTGTGTAATTCGTGCGTGGGTGTATGTATCTGTGCGTGTGATTTTGTGTGTATGTATGTCAGCGTGCGTGTGTTTGTATGTGTGTGCATGTATGTGTTCGTATGTGTCTGTGTACGTGTGTGTGCGTTAATGTGAATGTGCGTGCGTGTGTGTATATGTGCGCGCGTGTGCGTACGCGTGTGTGCGTGCGTATTTGCGTTTGTGTGCTTTTGTACGTACGTGTGTGTGCTTGTGCGTACGTGTGTGTATGTGTGTGCGTGTGTTTGTGTGCGCGTACGTGAGAGAGAGAGAGAGAGAGAGAGAGAGTCCGCATGGGAGATTGTACGTGAGAGAGAGAGAGAGAGAGAGAGAGAGAGAGTATGTGTGTGTGTGTGTGCGTGTTTGCGCGCGTGATATCATGTAGTCCCATTAAACAATAATGTTTTTATTGACACAATATACCGTTAAATCAATGGGCGAAAGGACTATCACGTTACAAATGAACGATACATATGAGCTCAGTTACTACTCAGCTCCTAAAGGGCACGCTGTTATAGTTTGTCCAGTAATCTAAACATATTACTTCTTGTAAAATATTTTTATGGAATGTTGATATTTTTTACAATGTTTCGTTACTCAAGATTTGAAAAGATATTGAGTACCTTCTTCATATATCTGTCGGCGCTATTAAAGGGGATTTGAGAGGGGTATCGGGGTATCAGATTAAGCCAGTTGATGCCTTTTTTCTTCAGTATTGTTTTCGTACACCGAACAGTACACATGTCAAGAAAAGTTTGGTAATTAAATTTCTTTACAAAAGATTCAAGGAGAAACATGCCTTTGTCGCCCAGTAAGTCATTCACATAACGGATGCCTTTTCTTTACCAATTTTCATAGAACACTCCTATTCCATTAATCTGAATGTTTTCGTTTAACCAAATATTTTCCGTAAGAAGGTCCATTTCTGACAGTTCTGTGGAATAAATAGATCAAATGCGAATCAACCAAGAAGTCAGGAGATCTCTGTTGAGGTCATCGTTTTGACGCTGCAAACAAGTACTTAAATATAAGCAAGATAGGAAAATTTAAAATTCTATTTCTGCCAAGGGGAGTTAGGTGTTGAAACTCGTGTTTCTCAATTTCTAAAACATCTATAATAATTCAAATCAATTATTATTTCTAACTAAAGACAATATGATATTCTAAGGAGGTCAAAAGGACATTGGTTCCAGTTTAGCTTCCACTGTGGACATCGCCTCATTCTTGATTTTTTTTTCTTTCTATCCAACTTAGACGTGTCTTATCAATGTTTACTTTCAATCAAGAGAAGAGTGCAAAACAACTTAACGTGAATAGACAGCGCTCAGACACATTTAATATACAGGCTGTCTGCAAACTGTTGTATGAGGAACTCGACATTCCCCAATTTTTTTTACTTTTATATCTGCATTATTTCTGATCATTATTCAAAGTATTTGGGCACACAAAATGAATACATAACAGCAATGATACGTAATGCAATATTTCCGTGGTAACTTCTGAAATATGCCCTCCGCATTGATCGGGGCGGTCATCTTGTCCTCGTCCACTTACGGTACAAGCATGGGAAGTACTGTTTGGGCTTAGTCACACATTCAGGACTTTTACTGCCGTCCTTAATAGGACAATTCCCGATTTTAAATTTGTGAAAAGTCTGATGAAGATCCGGTGATTCGTGGCGGGAAATTCACAAATTTGTAAAAAGTTTTATTTAATCGCGACAACAATCAGATATTGTTCAGGAAGCGTCCCGATTCAGCCGTTTCCAGCCGAATTCGTCCCGATTCTCCCGTTCTTAATCCGAATCTGATCCGATTTGTATCTTCCGCATGGTAAAAGACGACCGAATCTGTCCCGTCAGCGTCTCCCGAATGCGGTCCGACAGAGATCAGACAGTGACCAGACAGTGAACCGACAAGATCTGGACGCAATCTTGACAATTTCTCCAAATCGTGCCCGTTCATCACGACAGCGTCCCGATCCACAGGACACCGTCGAGACAACACAGGACATTGTAACGATTTTGATCCGATGCAGCAGTCACGACATAGTCACGATTGTAATCCGACTAGACAAAATCGGCTGAGTTTCCCGAATGTTACCGGACGCGCCGTACTGTCGGGAGTGCTTGGTAGACCTCTCTGGACCTTCCCGATCCGTATCCGACTTTTTCTCTTTTCGCGTCGTAGCGCTGTCTGATCTCAAACGGGAGCAATAATCGCACTGTGTGAACGTAGCCTTACTGCGACTGTCTCTCTGGGATAGTTGTAACAACCACTGCACCTCTACTGATCCTATTTTCTCTTATAACCTAACAACAAGGGATACTATCTACTTAAGGACATGGGCGTACGTACGCTCATGTCATCGCTTGTTTTGAGATCTGAACCATTATTTCTTGCGTTATACTTCCGACCGGTTTTTTGGCCTTTTTCCAGCGCTTCCAGCTAATGCTGATTTGTAACTCATTGTCTGTCATAGCCTTCATAGTGTCCACACACGATGCCCTCTACTTACCCATGTCCGGGCATCAGAGTGGTCAGAGGTCCTGATTGGGCGGGGAGAGACCAAGATGGCGGAGAAGGTCACGTGGGAACGGTTGTCAAGATAGAGACTTCTGATTGGGCAAAAGGAAAAGTGTCCGTTATCTGGGACAGTGGCCGTGAGTTCCAGTACCGGGCAGGGTTTGATGGCAAGTTCGAGCTGCTGGTGTTTGACTCAGGGCCTACAGGTAAGACATATTATTAGTTATGGTGTCTTTAGTTGCCGTATACGGTGTCGTATTAGGTTAGCAGAAAAATATTGGGCTAGGCGTCCTAACAAATTTATTATGCACTATTTGGTATCTTTGTCGCAGTTGTCATGTCAAAACTTAAAACTCAAAACTTAACACTTACAATCTAAGACGTTAAGGGTCAAAGGGAGACTACTCTTCAAACCTCAGATAATCAAACCTTGTTGATAATTTTAACTGTATATGATCTTATTAAAGTCACGAACGTGATCCAAAAAAACACATAAAAATTAATGATTTTAAAACAACAAACAGTGTCGAATAACGAATTTCTGTACCAGAATTTTCATGGGAAATATGTGAGGTGGGTGTTGAAAAATCCAAGATGGCTGTTACTGACGGAACACGGTCTCACATTAGGTCAGTAGTTCTGCTCTCTGATTGGTCAATCTCACTTTGAGGCGTGAGTATAATTTATGTGTATGGTCATGCAAAAAATAACTCAATTCCAAATAAGCAGAATGTCATTGTTCAAGTTAATTCGTTTTGAACAACAAGCAGCACTTGAAATAAATAAATCCATTTTCTTTGAATTTTAGAGCTAAAATATTGATCAGAACATCCAGCTCGCCAAGTGGAAGACATTCTCCTTTGTTATAAGTTATCAACACACACACCGCCGGCACTACGCCCCCCCCCCCCCCCCAACCACCACCTCCACCACAACAATAATAACAACATCAACAACAACAACAACAACAACAACATCCACACTCCACAATATCCAATTATCGCCCCAAGATGCTGCAGCACAATCTATTTTTTTGTTAAACAGGTGTAAAACAAAAAGGAATAATTTGTGACGGGTGCAGAGATGACGATTTTACAGGACTCCGATGGAAGTGCATGGAGTGCCGAGACTTCGACCTGTGTTCGGCATGCTACAACACTGACGTACATAACAAGGGCCACGCCTTCCTCCGATCTCTCACGAACAACTCACCACAGTGAGTAATCAATTAACCAAACTATTTGCGATGCAAAGCAAATAATACGATATCATACCACTAATAACGTTACTGAAGTAGGTATTGAAAGTGCATGATGGATCGACTCTATCCAGAGAACGGATCCAAGTTGCATTTGACCATACCTGATAGCTTTTATGGCCTTTGATGGCATTTGATGGCCTTTCTACATGCCAAACTGAAATACTGTGAAAGCGGCGATAAACACTTTCACTCACTCACTCACTCTATGAGGTATGCGTAGCCATCAGGCAGTTTCGATGATGCAGTTGAAACGATAAGGTATTTTTGAAATATTCTGTGAATACTAGTCCTATGTATAAAGGATGTAAAAAGCAGAAACACAATATGTAACATTTTCGAAACATTCTAAATTTTAAATTCTAATCCAGTAAGTCCTATTACAAAAACAAGCCGTTGGTCGATGTGGGTCTATTGCGATAGACGCGAGCACATTGTATTTTCAAAGAACGTAATTATAAGGAAAGTTTACAGTAATGATTCCTAGGAAGTCACGAACATTGAAAACTTCGAATTCTGTGCAAACACGTATCACTGATTTTGTTTGTAAAACCTTTAACTATATTTCCATATCTAACGATGTGTAAGCCTCGGATATGACGGAGATTCATATGATTATGGAAAACGGTTTTGTCGCTTTAATGTGATGGTTTGACGTTGTGTACATTATGCGTTGCTGGATTGCTGATCATAGTCTATAATAATAATAATAATAATAATAATAATAATAATAAAAATAAAAAAATAAAATAAAAATAATAACAACAACAGTAATAATAATAATAATAATAATAATAATAATAATAATTTTTATGTTTGCCGAATGTGGGATTAGGGTAATATTTGTGACATACATTAATAGATTAATAAAATATATGAGTCAAACAAATGTTATATCCACCATAATATCACAAACGATGTACTTGGCGTTTTTAGCTGATAGTACAGTAAACTACGTTTATAACGAACACGCTTTTAACGAACTGACGGATATAACGAACTTATATTTTAGTCCCGGCCTTTTGTTCTATATATGCTGTATAGCCTGCAACCTCGGGGTATCGCGGTACTTGTCATGTACGCTAAACGGAACAAAATGCACTCACTAACCTTTATGTTTATTCGTGTTCTCTGTATCAGATATCATTCATGTTATCAAACAATGCATATTTTACTGATAAAAGTTCATTATTTACATTAGTAGCTCCGAGTAAAAGCCGGGCCACGCGCTCTGTTTGACAAGGGAGAGAACTCCATCGTATCGCGGTACAGAGAAAAGTTGTGTATGGAGGTCCGAATTGGACAAAAAGAGGACATAATTCTACCAACCACTTGGTATGATCATGCCAGACATCAGTGATTTGTCCAGACAAGTGCAAAGACAGCACAAGTAAAATTCTAAATGTGTTATCAGCAAGAGGTATTCAATGCATATTTACCGAAAAGTAAGAGAAAAATATTTTTATAAGTCAACATCAAAATATCAGAAATGATATTTTTATAAAGATTGTTTAAAAAAAATTGGATGACAATAATTTGTCAAAAAATGGAAAAATGTTAAAAGTCAACAATAAATATATAAAAAGCACTCCTAGTATGCCCAAAGTATGTATTTATCTTTTGGTTACTAGTGAAGAACGTATTTCTAAGTTTGGCATTATGGCCCTTATGATCTCCCAATAGATTCTGGGCACAGAGCGGGAAAAAATGTGCGGACTACGAAACTTCCGTTACCTCATTAGTCGCCATGAATATGCAAGTGATCTAGTTCAGGTCGATAGAGAAAGTTTACTTGGGGAACTGCGGGTTATATCGTTGGCCATTGATAGATGGGGGTAAGGCAATATTACAACAGATGCCAGAAATATGTATCAACGGATTAATAACTCCTTACTTACAGCAGACGGAATATTCCGAGGAAATTGAAATTGTTTACGAAGTGAGCACTTCCTGGTTACTGATTTGCATTAATAGACAGCCGCTAAGAGGCTTGTCCCCGCGTGAACTACCGGAAATCACAAATGCCGCGATACGATGAATGCCGCGGTACCATGGGGTCTGAGTATACATACTTATAACGAACTACGGTTATTACGAACTAAAATTAGTGGTCCCTTTGACTTCGTTATATCCGTAGTTTACTGTATACGTATTCACGTTTCAGTGAGCGGGTTTCTCCTCGTTCTTCCACCCAAAGAATTCAGTCTATTGGCCTGTTCAAGGAGGCAAAGGTCAGGCGTGGACCTCACTGGACTCAACGAGTAGATGGAAATTCAGATGGTCAGTTTTCAGCTCAACCTGACATTGTCATTGAACGCCACAACCCATAGGCCATACGCCCGTATACTCGTTAAACGTCACATTCCTCGTACCTTTAAAGGGGCGGTCGGGTAGTCAAGTGGTTAAAGCGTTCGCTCGTCACGCCGAAGACCCAGGTTAGATTCCCGACATGGGTACAATGTGTGAAGCCCATTTCTGGTGTCCCCCGCCTTGATATTGCTGGATTATTGCTAAAGGCGGCGTAAAACCATACTCACTCACTCACTCACTCATACTTTCAAAAACGAAACAAAGGGCTTGATCTGAGAATGCTCTTTCCTTGAAATAAATCTAGCACCATACAAACAAATGTCTGGTGTCAAATTGTGATATCATTACATTTTTAAAGAATCACCTTCAACACGAACCATACATTATTGTCAGTGCTCGGGGCATTTTAATTTTTTTCGATAATGGTTACAAGGTGTGTGTACTATTAGACTAATAATCGAACAACACAGAGACACAAAGTAAATCAAACACCTGAACACTGTATAATTTAGATTTAATAAGTTTTAAATGGCATTTGGAAGCTGCAGTATCAATGATAAAGACGCAGCGCAGCGTTTCGGTACAGACGCTTGTCTTAAAGTCTTCATTAATTATTAATTAGAGTATGTTTGAAAGTACTCAAGTGATTTTCAGTGGTGCGTTTTAGAATGGAGTTGCATTTCATCAACGTGTCCAATACCCGTTTGTTTCAGTTTGTTACAATGCCATCAAACATGTCAGAATTGGTATGCGTCTGGGACTCCATCAGTCGTTCGAGGACCCTCTGGTCGTAGATGTGAGTGATTGAGTGAGTGAGTATGGTTTTAAAACCATTTCAGCAATATTCCAGCAACATCACGGCGGGGGACACCAGAAATGGGCTTCACACATTATACCCATGTCGGGAATCGAACCCGGGTCTTCGGCGTGACGAGCGAACGCTTTAACCACTAGGCTACCCGACCGCCCCTCGTAGAATCACAAATTCAAAGCCTGTCAACACTGTACCCGTACTTTTTCGGCTGTCATCTACGACCCGCGTCATGTTGAAAAACCCCGGGCTCTCATACCGAAACAAAAACTCAAGAAATGTTCAACGTTGCGTTAAATCCAAATTTTCAGGCACGTGATGTCTCATCTTTCCTCACAGGGGGAGAAGGGAACATTGGTGAAGTCGTCAAAGTGGGCACGTTGACGGGAGGTTATACTCGAGGCGCTGTCAGTGTGAGATGGTTCGCAGACCAGAGCAGTCTGAAGGGATACCGTGCTGGCGCTAATGGAAAGGTCGAGGTCATCACGGTGAAGGGGTCACAAGGCTGGAGGTACTACAAGGAGCACCTGCCTGTCCTCGGTGAGTTGTTATGGCAGACATCGAAGTCGAAGTCTTGATAATTGAAATTCAAGCACATTGCTGTGATGGTTAGCGAGCCGATAGGCGCTAACTTTATTTATTACTTGCCCGTGAAGAGATCACCCGTTTAATAAACATACAGCTTTACTACACATTGTGTAATACCAAAACGCGTGCTTATGTACTCTCGGAACACGTTTCACGAACAAATATTGAAAGCTCTCAACATCCCTTGGCGTATTCAGCGACATTGAGTGTGGAGATGATAGATCACTGGGAGGAGCTTATGCACACTCGATGACCCCAGCAACCTTGTTGCTAGGCTGACGTCACATGGCATTGTTTCGCCGATGGATCTTGCAACAAAATTCAACAAATTACTTCATCGGGTATTGTGACGTCATTGTAAACTTTGAGCTGCAAGGCCCCGTTCCACAAGGTGATCGTACTCTAGCGCAACGAGAGTCTTTAGTCTAAGTTAAATTATGTGAGTTGTGATAGCCTTAGCACTACGATAATTTTGTGGGACGAACGCCTGAATTCTAAACGTGGACCATTGTATGATATTAAATTCATACGTTTCAACTTTTGACGTGTTTGAAGTATCATTCTGTTAAACTCAATTGGATTATACCATGGATCGTGTATGTGTCAGCCTATTTACACTCAACAGTATAATTCTAAAAACATTATAAATGACAAGTAATAAATAAAATACTAAACTCGCTCTCGTGTTAAACCAATTTTATGAAACTCGTGAATAGTTGTGGTATCTGACTCACTTTCGCTCGTCAGATACCAGAACTATTCACTCGTTTCATAAAATTGGTATTACACCGGAGCTCGTTTAGTATTCTATATATATATTTGTACGTGGATGCACGTCGATATATAGTCGGTTGAACAGAGGGAGGCAATACTTCGGCCATGCTCTTTATTTTCTGATCCAAGGGAGGTAACTCCTTCACACATAATCACAATGTTAAAGTGCAATGTAAAACACAACCATTGCGTCATATTGTGATATCACATTCCGTGTTAAGACCGCCTCCGTGGTCCAGTGGTAGAGCGTCCACCAGGAGAGCCGATGGTCTGACGTTCGATCCCCGGTCGCGTCATACCAAAAGATGTTAAAATATGGTACTTGTTGTTACCCTGTCTGGCGCTCGGCATTAAGGGCTAAAACAAGGACTGGTCGGCTCGGAGTCAGTATACTGTGTCTGAGTGGGGTATTCCTGTTAAACTGCGGCATGGTATCTCAGTGTGCTAGCACTATAAATCGATATAAGTCCGGACTAGTACAAGCAGCCACACACAAACACGTGCATGCACGTCGCTATATAAGTGCAATAATCTTGGACGCGACGTTAACCCCATTTCACCTCACCTGTGTTACAATGTATGACAATTGACACTTCGAATTGTTGTTATATATATAACAAGTCATGAAGCTGCTTATGAACCAGTTAAAGTTTTCCTTCTGCAATAGGGGGGCACGGGTGGCCCAGTCGTTTAAGGCGCAGTGTACCTTGGACACGCCAGAAACCTATGATTGTGGGTTCGAATCCCGGTTTGCCCCGATTATGTTTCTAGGTTTGTCAGCACCATGCCCGTGGTAAACGTCTGAGACCTGCATCACTTCGGGCTTTCCTCCCACATTAAGCTGACACGCCGTGATATAACTGGAATACTTTTAAAAGCGGCGTTTAACACAACTCACTCACTCCTTCTACAATAGACTACATGGCCTTACTTGACAAACCCGCCCCCGTGGTCCAGTGGATAGAGCATCTACCCGGAGAGCGGAAGATCGGTGGTTGAATCCACTGGACGCGTCGGACCAGCATACTTTTAAAGATCGTCCTGTTGTTTTGGAGATTAATGAACAGATTAATGGAATAGCCATTGGGATATCAATGCGGGATGCACTCCTAAATGATATGGGACTTCACTAACATGTACCTCAACCAGGGCTCCTGTTGAAGGCTGTAATCTGTATTGGGGGAGAGCGTTGGAACATTGAGGACCCTCGGTTCTTTCTTCATTAATCGACCTAGCTGATGAACGCATACAGAAAGGGTGTGGACGCTTTGGTTTTTTCCACTCGGTATAAAAGGGATAAGCCAAGGACTGGTCGGCTCGGAGTCAGTATACTGTGTCTAATACTGTCTCAGTGGGCTAGCACTATATGGACATGATATCTCAGTGGCACTCTTGCACTATAAAACGGCATAAGCCTGGACGAGTACAAGCAGCCACGCACACAAGTGCATGCATGTATATAAGTGAAATAATATTGAAATTGGTCAAACCTCTTATCATCTCATCTCACTAGCTTGCATGAAGGCAGCTAATCGTTGTCACGTGTATACTATTATTTTCAAAGTCTGTGGTAAGAACTATAGTCATACCACTATTGTACTTGTTGATCTTGTCATGGATGTTAATAAATTATTGACAATGTAGAAACGTGGACATAGTATTGGATTCTAAGACTATCCATGGAAAAATATCCTCTATATGTTTGTTCTTTATGTCTGCAATTCCAGATGTTCTTCAGCCAAATGACGTTCGGTTTAAAGTTGGGGACAAACTGAAAGTAGAGGACGAGAAAATATTTAGACGCGTGCATTCAGATCATAAGTTCTTACACGAAGACGGCATGACACAGGTATCTGTATAATGGCGAGTTAAGGTTGTTTGTTCAAGGTTACAACATTCAAGGCCACAACGAATCTTTCAAAAAATGTATAATATACTTGTGGAAGACATTTCCAAATTTGACGTATCAGTGACGAAATGATGTCCAATGCAATTACCTATATTAACTTGTACCATATGTTCCCATGTTATTTGAGATGAGTGAGTGAGTGAGTGAGTGAGGTTTTACGCCGCTTTTAGCAATATTCCAGCAATATCACGGCGGGGGACACCAGAAATGGGCTTCACACATTGTACCCATGTCGGGAATCGAACCCGGGTCTTCGGCGTGACGAGCTAACGCTTTAACCACTAGGCTACCCGACCGCCCTATTTGAGATGAACAATTGACTTGTATTTGCATGTGTTTGTGACGGGTGCCACCAGTGAGGCGAAGACCTGGTATGATCACTGTTTGACAGCGATTCATACACACATGCCCATGATACTGTCGGAATCGTAAATCGGCCCCGCTTTTGACAGATATTTATTTTATGAATACGGAAAGGGTTTTGTCGCTTTATCTAGCATAATGCATGATACTAGACACACGCTAAGGTTTCGTGTCCACATGATATACCGTATTCGACGTAATAAGCGCCCACGGCGATATTTTCCAATATATTGGCTAGTGAACAATCCTAATTAGCACCCCTTCTTATTGATCCATGTACACGTGTGTATAATACGTGTGTTATATATGCATCCTTAATTATGGGCAATTAAATTCTGGAAAATATATCTGTCGTGTATCATTACAGGCTGTCTACATCAACCATGAAATTTACGATTTTTCAACTCTGTTTTTTTTCACATTTTATGCTAAACAGAGCCCCCTATTTCTAATTTTGAGAGCGCCCGGGGCGCTTATTACGTCGAATACGGTACGTGAAGCCGTGAAAGATGTGTGTCTCTTTTGCACTCACATGATAATTTTCAACCTGCTCGGTATCTGTTTCCGTTTCGATGTAAGTAGCAGGGTAGGGACATGTACGTCAAGTCTCAAATCAACAAGTGAGCGCGGATGGCCCAGTCGTCATAGGCGCCGAGAGTTGCGTTCTTTGGGCGTGAAAGAAACCCTTTAATTATGGATTCGAATCCCGGTACGACCAGATTACGTTTTAAGGTTTGTCAGCACTATACCCGCGCCCGTTTGTTCACCAAAGTGGTAAAAGTCTAAGAACCTGAATCACTTCGGGCTTTCCTTCTACATTAAGATGGCACACTATGAAATGACCGAATACGTATCAAAGCGGCGTTATGCCCAACACACTTACTCACAAATTAACGAACGAACGATGAATTGACCATGTTTCAGTGCCTGCAGGAGATTGGTACAGTGGTGATAGTAAGGCGAGATGAAGAGCGCATCATTCAAGCACAGTATCAGGATGCAGAAAAATACACCCTCATCAAGTCCACTTTAACGAGGGTAGGTCCACAAACAGCGAGCGGAATCTACTTCATATAGTGTAAAATATATTGTGTTTCCATCATTGGTCAACAGGCACAGTGACTATTTAAAGACATTTCCAATACACATATTATCGATACATTTTTCAGAAGAACACACTAGAGACAATTATATAATACCAAGAAGGTTATAAATAGTACAATATATTTACTATGGGAGTGAACCGATTTAAAACGATTGTTTGGTTAAAATATGAACACTGCAATAAATAATGACGACGCAGTAAACGCCACCGCCACAAGTTGAAATATCATCAATGAAACGATCCAATTTGTGTCCTAAGTAAGGATATGATTTGAGGATGAACAACTTCTTTAATACGATTAGGAGCGACGCTTCAGTGTAGGTTCTAACACCCTATCAAGCAAGTTTTTAAGCACTTGCTTGATAACGGTGTCAGAACCTTCACCGAAACGTCGCTCCTAATTGTAATAAAAAAGTTGTTCATCCATATATCATATCCTTATTTGTCCATTCATCCTGCTAAGACCAAATCGAAGTTCCACAGGAATAATCTAGATTCACTCTGCAGAGTTCCAAGATGTTTGTGAGAGAACAATGAGAATAATTCAATCTTAATATCGATCACAAATAGTTCTGGCATTATACTTGCTGTTCTCTTTCTAGAAAAAGAAACTGTTCAGTCTTATTAGGATCAGAATGAACACGTTTTTGCCGATCTTGCTGTCAATTCAAAATCAGTATTTAAAGATTTATTGATGAACTAGGGTCATGAGTAACGTCTGTGACCATGCCCTGTAGGCCTTGAACCTGATTCACAAGGCTGGTCGTAAATCCAGCGTCACACTGACTTTCACCGTGGTACATTTGCACACTCCATTACAGATGGTCTGCGTTATTCTGTAACAGGTGCAATTGCCTTGTGACACTATCTGGGCCCACTTGCTCAAAGCGATCTTAGCGTTAAGATGATCTTAACTCCCATACTCTAACATAGGCTTACAATAGTGACCCGTGAAGATCCGGGGTAGAATTGGTCTTCAGCAACCCATGCTTGCCGTAAAAGGCGACTATGCTTGTCGTGAAAGGCGAATAACGGGATCGGGTGGTCAGGCTCGCTGACTTGGTTGATGCATGTCATCGATCCCAATTGCATGGATCGATGTTCATGATGTCAATCACTGGATTGTCTGGTCCAGACTCGATTATTTACAGACCGCCGTCATATAGCTGGAATATTGCTGGGTGCGGCGTTAAACAACAAACAAACAAACAAACAAAAAGCTTACAATAGTCTTAGCGCTTTGATCGTTTTGTGCAAGTGGTCCCTGGTTGTTGTAGCTACACACGTTTGCTGTTGGAGACACTGTGAGGATCATTAGCAACTACAACGCTGCCGTGGAGCTCCAGAATGGACACGGCGGGTGGAACGATAAAATGGAAGACGTAAGTGTTGAATTATCTCCCGGTCAAATTTGTGTATCAGATTTTGTGTGACACAAACTTTGAGATACGTCCACGAATCTAAATTGATAAAACTAATAAATTCAGGATAAACATCTGTATTTCACCAGGATCCTGTTTCATTAGGTTATCTACGCCTGCCGTGACTCCGTCAGTTTAACATGGACTTACGACAGTCGTAGCACCAGTCGCTTTGTGAAACTGGCCCCAGGGCAACTAAGGTACAATTGAGCTTATGGTACAAAGCGTTGTCTGCCGTTGGGTGAAAGGGCAGAAGTCAAACAGATTATTTAACAAGTTATCTTACCTTGCATTACGAAACTCGTTTCTGACTGGTGACGGAATGGCATTGTTTCCCCGCTGACATGTGCCCCGCTGATAAATAAGGTACATATAGTATATACCTCGCCGGGAAATGCCGAACTTCTCACAAATGCGACTACCATGACATGATGACATTATCTCGAAACTGAACACCTTGAAATGCAGCTCAGCCAACGTAACAGTAAATATCCATACTGATGAAGACACCTAAAAAAAAACGGGCGAACGTTATGCCAGTAAGATAAATTCGTAGTCAACAATCTTTATTTCTACAATCTGTCATGTCGATTTCCATACAATGGTCGAGGAAACAGTGCAAGATTGCAAAATGCTGCGATGACATTGTGTGTGTGTGTGTGTGTGTGTGTGTGTGTGTGTGTGAGTGTGTGTGTGTGTATATGAAAAGTTATATCAGCAATTAATTTGAGTAACATGTGGCCCACCATTTAAAAGGGACCTTATGGGTGCTACGATACAACTGCCATAAAAGTCATGAAGTCGTTTGACATAAACTTACTTCAGTGAAGATCGAATTATGTATTGTTTTGTTTCTCTGGAGCTTTAACAAATAATGTCAAGTCAATATGTAATTTTTCACCCATTAGGTCACATGGTCGCCATGGTAGAATGGGCACATACAGCCTGTGTTTTGAAATTTGAGGTAAAAAATTCAAATTGTGAAAGAACACAAGCTTAAACTTCCCATGGATGCTCCCATGGATGTGGTTTCCCAAAGGAAGTGAGAATGAATTTTAACTCTCACTCATCCATTAACAGATTTTTTGAAATGTAGGAGGGTATGAATGTGTGTTGTGCTGAGTTGACACTTAGATATAGCCAGTCGCAGTAAAATAATAAAATTGTGAAAATATTTTACAAATACTTGGTACCAAATGTAATCTGTAACTTCCACTGCGATTGGTTATCTCTATTTTCAGTATCTTGGAATGACAGGCCAGGTGGTTGAGATCGACAAGGACGGGGACTTGAGGGTCGCCTTTGGCCAAGTCAAGTGGTTTTTCAGCCCCGTCAGCTGTGATCCTCAGGACAGAGAAACCTTGTCTGGGTCCGGCCTCTCCGTCGGGTCTAACAGAAGCACCAGTTCAGATTCATCTGACGTCGACAGTGAGTAGGCCTCGGGACAAAATATGTATTTATCATTCATTAATAATAAAGTGAGTTTAAATACTAGTACTCGCCCCGAGAGCGGATGGTCCGGGGTTCGATCCCGGCCACGTCATACCAAAAGACGTTAAAAGATGGTACTTGTTGTTACCCTGTCTGGCAATCGGCATAAAGGGGCTAAAACAAGGACTGGTCGGCTCGGAGTCAGTATACTGTGTCTGAGTGGGGTATTCATGTTAAACTGCGTCATAGTATCTCAGTGGGCTAGCACTATAAATCGGCATCAGACCGGACTAGTACAAGCAGCCCCCCCCCCCCCCCCCCCCACACACACACACACACACGTGCATGCACGTCGCTATATAAGTGCAATAATCTTGGACGCGACGTTAAACCCCATTTCACAACACCTAAATACTATAACTTAGTCCAACGAAGTTATGTAAGCTGAAGTGAATGAATGACTGACAACTACCACCTGCGAGCTTCAGGTCGTGCCAGACTAATATGCGCCCTGATTATGTTACTGAATTTGTTAACTCCATTCCCTTGTGTTTTACCAAAGTTGTGAAAAGTCAAGGATCTTCACGTTGATAGTTCGTCCCCCATCAAGCTGACCTGCCTGGGATTTAACTGAAATGCCCTGTGTGGCGTCTTTGGAACAACTTATTTACGAACATTCACATTTACAATGTGACACGGTATGGTGGCTTTAGTTGTGAGGAGGAGTCGCCTCCCTTGTTTCTTTATATTTTACAGCAGCTTAGTCCAGTGGCTTGTTCTCATTCACCGGGATCGGTGGTTGGTTGTTTAGTTGGTTTGTTTGTTTATTGTCAGCAATATTCCAGCTATATGACGGCGGTCTGTAAATAATCGATTCTGGACCAAACAATCCAGTGATATACGTCATGAGCATCGATCCACGCACTTGAGATCAATGACATGTATCAACCAAGTCAGCGAGCCTGACCACCCGATCCCGTTAGTCGCCTCTTACGACAAGCATAGTCGCCTCTTACGACAAGCATAGTCACCTTTTACGGCAAGCATGGGCCATTGGCTATTTGGTACGTTAACGAAAAGGAAAACCGTCAACATATTACCTTTTATTGCTGCATATGTATTGAATTTTCTTTTCTGTAAGACAACTCCATCCCATGCATTGTGATGCAAAATATCAATTTGCTTTTATTTATTCCAAAATATGTTGTTGTTTTCATTTTATTCTATTAATATATATTGAACATCATGATATGTTTTTTTCTCAGACATTGCAGAGGGTGTGGCCCAGGTCCTTTTCGGTCTCCTGAAACCAGGCGAGAGTGCTATGTATAAGCCAACGACGTCTGTCACAGCCAGGGACCTCGTCATCGCCGTCAGCAACGGGGACACAGAAGCAGTACCAGGCATTATCAAGTCTATTGGTGACAAGGCAAGTTTACAATCTTAATTAGGAGATAACGTTATGCGTTTTTGGATTTAGTTAGTATCTAAAGGCCGGAAATCTCATTTGGAACAGAAGGCGTAAGCTGTGATACATACATTGTAGATGACGTCGTCCGGTAATACTCTGATGTCATGAGACAATAGATGACGTTATATGTTGCTATGACAACTGAATAAGTCTTGTTGCACGACGATAAATACACTGTATAGTGGATTTTGTATTCTAGTGGCCATGCTTAGTACCATGTTCACAAAGTATTTATCCTGTTATTATCGTTGATGTTGTTGTTGTTATTATATTTATTTAGAGATTGAAATAAGAAAAATGCAGCAAGGGTTTGGGTGATCGTGGCACAGTCAGGCTGGTCATTCCCATCATCGGCTCAGGGCCATTGCCCCCCCCCCCCCCTACACGCAGCCTAGACACCGAATGGGACTTCTCCCAGGAAGCGATGCCTAGTCAAACCCACCCAGATCTTTTCGGAGAATGTGAAGACTCCCCAACACTGCAGCCTTCTGCATTACCCAGATTGTCAGATGGGCTCTATTCCTGGTAGCAAACCCGGGTACTCTCCCAATGTCAGTCACCAGATTGGGAGGTACCAAACCTGAGGCACCGAGAACAATGGGGGGTCGGACAACTTGGTACTTAGGATGCAAGCGTGACATTTCGAAAGCGCTGTCCGCATATTTGCCATTTTCTTCCTGAATCTTGTCATTCACATTAGTGTCAAAAGGGGCAGAAAAGTCAATGATATAAATGATTTCATCGGATGTTTGAAAAAAGACAAGAACGGATTTGTTGGCCTGGATAGGTCAGAGGCTGTATACGGACCTATTCCAATGGATTTTGTGATTATCATCATACCATGACGCCCACTACATATTCTCGGTCGTACCATGGATGGACCTTTGTGTCAAACCCACAAGCATGGCAAAGAGACGGTAATAAAATGATCGAGCCCCTCCACTATGCCACTTAAGATTGTCATTGTTATTATTGTTGTCATCATTACCGAATACAATTCATGTACCTGTTAAACTTTTTCAGTTGACCTTTTTCCTCGTCAATGGTTCTTTGTCTGACAAGGTATCAAATGTTTGTGCAAAACATATTGTATATATTGTGTGAAGTTTTGCTGCAATGTTTTAGTAAAGGTCTTGTGCCTGTTTTTATGCCCACTGTGTTCACATACTTAACGTGTACGAGGGGATATCAAAAAGGTTTGAGCCTCACACAGAAAAAGAAAAAGAATTGGATTGTTACTACTTTATTTTTCAACATAGTCCCCTCCCAACTCCACACACTTGTTCGACCTAGTTTGCCAGTCACTGATGCCCGATCGGTAGAAGTCAACATTCTGGTCCCCTAACCAACCTTCCACAGCAGCAGTTAGCTCATCGTCATCTTCAAATCCCCGGCCCCGGAGGTATTTTTTTCAGCCTTGGAAAGAGGTGGAAGTCACTAGGGGCTAGGTCTGGAGAATAGGGTGGGTGAGGGAGGAGTTCGTAGCCACATTCTTGCAAAGCTGTCATTGCAACATGGCTCGTGTGGACTGGTGCGTTGTCCTGGTGAAGCAGAATCCCACGACGGATTTTTCCACGGCGTTTCACCTTGATGGATTGGCGCACCTGCTTCAATAATTTGGCGTAAAACTCCCCATTCATCGTGGTGCCATGGGGCAGGTAGTTGATGTGAATCACTCCTTTGCTGTCCCAGTAGATGGTCATCATAACCTTCTTGGTGGATCTGGTGGCTTTGAACTTCTTTGTCTTTGGAGAAGTGGCGTGTTTCCATTCCATCGACTCCTGTTTGCTCTCCGGATCATAATGATTAACCCAGGTTTCATCACTGGTTACAATCCTAAAATGAAAATCATCTGGGTTGGCGTTGTACCGAGTTAGCAAGGCTCCACTGATGGTGACATGTCATCTGTAAGCATTCTCGGGGCCCATCTGGCACACACTTTGGACATGTGGAGTTTGCCATGAATTATATTATGTATGGATCCATATGATAGGCCTGTTGTTTCTTCTATCTTATGGAGAGTAATACGGCGGTTTTCCATCACTAGTTTGTGTACAGTGTCAATGATTTCAGGGCTGGTACTGGCTGATGGCCGCCCGGACCGGGCATCATCTTCTCAGCTCTCTCTGAAATTCCTTCACCAACCGTTTGATAGTTGCAGACGATGGGGAAGACTCTGCATAAACTGCAGTCAATCGCTCTTCCACCTGTTTGGCAGATTGACCCTCTAGGACAAGGAACTTTATCACCGCTCTGTACTCAGATTTGTCCATTTTGCCAATTCACTAGGGGTAGGTCTCTTCCGCGAAGTGTTGTGACAAAATAATTGCAGCCAGCAATATGTTTCTACATAGCATCAGAAGCTAAGACATTCATGTACATCAGGTGTAGCGCATTGTACCATTCGACCAGGAATACTGTGTGAGGCTCAAAACTTTTTGATATCCCCTCGTACATGCCTTTACGTCTGCCTTCACCTCCTTCAGGTAAACGAATCAGTGGATGGCCTCACGGCACTGCAGACAGCGTGTTACAAAGGTCATGCTGACATTGCCAAGCTTCTGATCAGCGCTAAGGCTGATCTAAACAAGGCAGACAACGAAGGCGACACACCTCTACACTATGCCGTATCAGGGTCAGTATACACTTTTAAAACAAGGCAAAGCTGTTATAATTCAGATAGAAGCATAAGAAACACAATTCTCAATTATGTTTTTATCCAAAGACCGTAACATGTGTCCATAACAGCAGAAGTGACGGAGTAGGACATATCTGGACATACTAAGTATATACGAAGTACGGAACACAACACAAATCACGTCTACTAAATTTCCAATTCTTAAAGACCAGGGTGCCGTTGTACAAAACAACCTCGGCGCTAAGGTTACCTTATATCCTTAAGTTTTAACCTTAGGCAGGGTATGAAACTCCCCAAAATTTCAGCCAGACCACAGGACTAGCTGAAATACTTGCCAGCCCTGACCAAAACATGCCTGCCCACTATAATCATATGTTTCTCAGGATAAGCTAACGGGGTTTCTTTTTGGTTACATTTTATCATTCATCTTTACATGTGAATTAATGCTTATCATCGGGAAATATTTAGAATATTTTCACATATGAAATATAACCCGACCGTCGGGCAGGGGGATTTGAAAATCTGGCAGCCCGAGTTGAAATCAACCCGTCTCGGACGGTCGGGCAGGCAGGTATTTCGAACACTGCCTTAGGCCTTAACTGAGGTTGACCCCCTGTTGCATGAAACTGCTTTACGCTAAGGTAGCCTTAGTTTGAAAATTTAAGGTTGGTCAGACCCAACCTTAGCGTGGCTTAGGTTGATACTTCATTGAGTTTCAACATGGCTACCTTCTTGTTGATGTGTGAGGAAATTGAGAGAAATTTGAGGATGAACAAACGTTGTTGGTCGGCTGATTGCGGATTTCACACAAGATCGTCATTACGATCAGTCCATCCTTCCGATACATTTATGTTGCTATAAAATTAAAAAGCTTACCCTTTTCGCGAACACCTGGTGTCATCACTGTTTTGAGTTATCAATTCATATAAATTTCCCTGCTATTTTGCATTTTTACATGTACAACTTATGCAATTCGGCATATAATCGAGACAGAATATTTTCTGTCGTTCTCGTTTCATAATTGAGTGATGGTGATAAATCAAACAGTTAAAATAATTTGGTTGTTGTTTAACGCCGCTCACGTCAATATTCCAGCTAAATATTACCGCGGCGTTTGTAAATAATCAAGTCTGGGTCAGACAAACCAGTGGTTGATACAATGAGCAGCACCTCACGCCTTCGAGTTACGATGTCAAGCAACCTACCAAGTCACCAAATCTGACCTCAGATTCATTGGATAGAAAAGGATGCTGGGGACACATTCTATCCTGGAACAGGAACAAGAACTAACAAAAGTAATACCAGAACGTGGAAATGTTGAAAGACTCTTCATATGCTTGACCTCATGTTTTGCCATGTTTACAGAGAGCAGCCCACCCTAGTAGGGATACTGCTGGACGCCACGGCACGGGGCGACACGAAGAACAACAAGGGACTGACACCAATACATCTGGCAGTGGCCAAGAAGAACCCCAGTGTCGAGTGCTTGAAGAGACTCATACGGTCCAAGTGTGACCCGAACACACAGGTGAGCGTAGTGTCCTATCTTGAACCCACAATCCTTTACCCTAACCTTTCACAAATAAACATCCACTCCATTTAGTAATTAATATTGTACTTGTTTAACGTTTCATCAGACGGATCATATTGTCCGCATTGTCCTTATTTTCGTTGAGATTTCAACCCTTTTCACTTTGCTTAAACCGCCAAGGACGAGGACGGAGATACGCCCCTTCACGATGCCATCAGAACCCAGAACCAGCATCTTCTTGACCCCTTCCTGGCGTGTGACCTGCTCAACCTCAGACTCGCCAACTCTGATGGTTGCAACCCTTTCCATGAAGCATGTACGTCCCTCGCTGGGGCAACAGAGTAAGTTTACCGCCTTAAGCTGTCTGTACCAATGCAACCCTTAACACAAAGTACGTCCCTCGCTGGGGCATCAGGGTAAGTTTACCGCCTGGAGGTGTCTGTACCAATGCAACCCTTAACACAAAGAACGTCCCCACGCTGGGACATCAGAGTGAATTCCCCAACTGAAGCAGTCTACTGACATGTCATCGATCCCATTAGCGAAGATCGATGCTCATGATGTCAATCACTGGATTGTCTGGTCCAGACTTGATTATTTACAGACCGCCGTCATATGGCTGGAATATTGCTGAGTGCGGCATTAAACAACCAACAAGCAAACAAAACTTCAGGAGATAAAGTTCAGGAGATACATCACATGACGAATCGTAAGCTTCCGCACATGCTGTGAATGTCTTCATCATACTATTCAGGTTTCCACAAGCACTGATAAAGAAAGACCCGAAGATCGTCAACGTTCCCATGAACAACGCCCTCACCCCAATACACATAGCAGCTTTCAGGAGCTTTGTGGCACTGGCAGGTGTCCTGGTTAAGGTAAATTTTATTACAGGATGAGGTAAAATGGGGTTTAAAGTCGCGTTAAGATTGTTGCACTGTTATGGCGAGTGCGTCTGTCTGTCTGCCTGTCTCTCATCTGCCTGCTTGTACTAGTCCGGACTTATGCCACTTGTATGGTGCTAGCCCAGTGAGGTATGTAGTCGCTTAACGTGGATACCCCACTGAGACATGGTATACTCCCAGCCGAGAAGTCCTTGTTTTAGCCCCTCAATGCTTGCTTAGCGCCAGGCAGGTTACGACAAGTACATTACCATCTCTTAACGTCCGTTGGTGTGACGCGGCCAGGGACAGATCCTCTATTAACTACAAACGTCAAAGGAAGTCCCTATGTATGTGTACTACTCACAAAATAGTTAACGAATACCCGATTCTTTCATATTACTTTAGTCAATCTGTCATGCCACGACAATTTAACTGTAGAAGTTTAATTTATTTATTATAATGCCTTGACAGATAAATGAAAGAATGGCTTCTTTTGAGTAGCATATTTAGGTGAACACTCCGTCTCGTATTCCCCGTGGAACATTGTTCATAATATCGATCACTGGTTTATCTGGTTCAGGCAATCATACAGCTGGACAATTGTAACGGGTTTTAACGTGGTCACAAACCTTTCTAGGATGACATTATAAAGGTTGTCACGACGTGAGTGAACCATGGAGTAAGTGCCTGTTTGTTAAAGCGTTCGTCCTGTAACACCGAAGACCCGGGTTTAATGAGAAATGGGTCCATCCCGCCGTATTGCTGGAACATTGTTAAATACATTGGCGTAAACATTCGTCACCACTCGCCCCTTTCCGTAACCTGCAAGAAGACTCGTCACCCTATCGATAATTGTTCATTCGTGACCAACTCGTGTTATTCCGGGACAAGCCGAATAGCGACTCGTGCCCTTCTCATTACAATCTTTGCGACCGGGTTCCGTCTTAGCGCAAACGGGCATACCTAAAACAATTGTCAACTCGTTGCGTAATGGTTCACATATATTTCCCCATATATTATATATATACTTCAGATGCAATTTAAGGCACCTCGGGACGTGCGGAATTATACAGTATGATTGAACACGTTTAACTGTATCTTGGGTATATACGCGCATTTTCATTGGTTTGTCGTATTTTCGCGCATAACATAACGGAAAGAGGCGAGTGGTGACGAATGGATGAACGTAATGTGCGAAAATACGACAAACCAATCAGAATGCGCGTAGGAAAGGTCAAACAATCCCTCAGGATTAATGTTTGACTTTACATATGTCTTGCATTTAAAAATATACCCAAGATATATATAATGTGTCAAATCATAGTGTATAATACTGTAAGTCCCGATTTGTCCCCAATAGCATTTGGAACGTATATTTTGTATGAGGCAAATAAACGGGAATCATGAGGCAACGAGTTGACAATTCTTTAAGTTATGCCCGTGTGCGCTTAGACGGAACCCAGTCGCAAAAATGGCCACGAGTCGCTATTCGGCTTGTCCCGGAATAACACGAGTTGGTCACGAATGGTCTTATTCTTTCACTAGCTCCTGAGGCCACACTAATTATAAGTATAGTCATCCGATCAATGTATGAGAGTTCTCTCAGCGCACACACGAATCAACCTGAATAGGGAATCTCACCAGCTCTAGGAATTGTAACGTTAACTGTGTACTGAACTTGTCTACATAATCCTATAATTTTGTTATATCTAAGGTTGTATGCCGTGGGTTATTAGACCAAATAGAAATGGTTTTGCATTAACTGAAAATTTGTTTTCCTAAAAGTTTTTATACATATGATTGAATAACTCTTTTATGACAATTTCAATCGGATGATTCGTGAATAGGCTGGGTGTAACGTCAATGCACGAGACGACAATGGCAAGACAGCTCTTCATCTGGCTGTGCAAGGATGTAACCTACAGATGGTCCAACTGCTCCTCGAGTCTGGTGAGTAGAGAATGATGGGATCTGCATGTGATTCATCTCCCCGAGCCTGGTCACTGGCCGACCATTTGATATTCGGTGGAGGAAGGAGAGGGGCGTCGGGATCTGTGACAAAAAAATGCATGAAAACAATATCAATGCTCCAGAATGTTAAAAAAAGAAGAAATTGTCTGCTACAAAAATTGTTTCAAGGTGGTCTTTTTTCAAAAACAGGCTTATAGTTTTAATATACAAAAAATAACTGGTTTTAACTGAAAAATATCTAATCTAAAAAAAACAGTTCCAGATCCCCCATATCAAATAGATCCCTTAGTACAGATAGGCTAACTGCTCCTTCGGTCTAGTGAGTTGTGAATGATATGCCCTGCAGATGATTCATCACCCCCAGGAGGATAGAACGGTGTAGCTTACGGAAGATCCCCGAAGGTAGCATGCACACAGTGCACCGGCCAAATATGTTCATGCAGATTGTCTGCTCGTCGAGTATGACACACTCAGTAGATGACCTATGCTCTACCCACTGTACAGTAAACTATACAGTTGACAGAGTCTTCTATAACTATGACACATTTTACCTAATATGATCTACAGGAGCGGAAATTAACGTACAAGACCAAGATGGCAATTCTCCTCTCCACGCCGCCCACATGGACAGCACCCTGCCAGGAGCTGTGAGTACTACCGTCATACTATTCACGTGGTCCCACTTACAGCCCCCTGTCAGGAGCTGTGAGTACTACCGTCATACTGTTAACGTGGTCCCAATTACAGCACCCTGCCAGGAGCTTTGACCACTACTGTCATACTTTTAACGTGGTCCCAATGTGGTTTGATTGTGTTTGCAATGCTGCAGCAGGTAAGGAGGCATTGAGCTTTGCCAGGTGCGTGTTATATCGCGCATTTGCCAGTGTGAAGTGTGTTTCATGCTTGTCCAAATTAAGGCACACTGTATGTTGGAGGAGTGAAGCTGTGATTGTTTATGACAATGTTTTCACTATCTGCAGGAGGGTTCCAAGGACGAAGACATGGCACTGGAGATCCGCTGCCATCTCGCTGAACGTGGAGGAGACATCGGGCTGAAAAACAAGGCCGGGAAGACGCCCCTTGAGTTCGTGAAAAACAAAGAAGTCCGAGCAATGCTGGTTAGGTAGGACTGATGACGTCACGAATTAGAAATAACCAGAAAAACACATGTTTATGATCGAGTAGTCTGTGTGCCTATTTAAGTGCTTTTCTACTGTTAACGCTATACTCAGCAATATTATATCTATATGGTGGCTGACTGTAACTAATAAAGCCTGGGCCAGACAATCCAGTGTTTGATATTATGAGTATTGATCGGGTTACGATGAAATAATACCCAGACAACTGTATCACTCGGAGGGTCATGTAAGAGAGGTAGGACTGGTTTGATAACAAGTAGCAAAGAGACAATTGCAATCAGATGGTTTGAACTATAATAAGATTATGACTTTGAATAAATAATAAATCAATAATAACAGGCAATTGCAACCGAAAGAAAGGCATGATAGACTAAGTGCAATGCGGTTAATTTGAAAAGAAGTAACAAACAGACTATTGCAAATAGATGGAACTTTCAGCTGATTATGATAGATCGTCAGGAATGAATAGATAATAAATAATATCAGTCGATTGCGCTAGGATGTTTGAGTCATTGGGGGTTAATATAGAACCGTATTGATAGCCAAATAGGTGCCCTTTGTACAGAGGGAGTTGATTTCTCGACACTCAGTGTTGAAGTAAGACAGCCCAAAGTGATGTGTGGGTAAGGTGTTTGCCACTTTCACAAAGAAATAAGGAACAAATGAGATGCAGGCCGAGTGCGGATCAGGGTGAAACAATAACCAGGGTGATTCTGGGATTTGAACCAAAGATCAGCTGTTCCTGGTACTACTAGGGGAGGCAACTTGCTTCACTTTCTGCCTTCCGTTAATATGATTGACTGAGAATGGTTTGCCCCGCTTTTAGCAACATTCCAATCATATGACATTGTAATCGAAGCCGGGTCTTCTTGGGACCAGCCTTCTCTTTAACCCCAATACCGCCCCACTGCCCCATCTGATGACATTATATTTGTTTGTTTATTTGTTGTTGGTTGTTTAATGCCGCACTCACCAATATTCCAGCTATATGCTGGCGGTCTGTAAATAATCGAGTCTGGACCAGACAATCCAGTGATTTACATCATGAGCACCAATCCACGTAATTGGGATACGATGACCTGCATGAACCAAGTCAGCGAACCTCACCACCCGATCCCGTTAGTCGCCTCAGCGACAAGCATAGTCGCCTTTTACGGCAAGAATGGGTTGCTGAAGACCTATTCTACCCCGGATCTTCACGGGTTTGATGACATCATACCATTATGATGTATAAAACAATGATGGTACTGATAATTTAAAACCTGTTCATTGGTGGTAATTCTTTCGGAATTTACATGATACGAAAATATATCTTGATTTTCAGAATTGCAAAGCGGCCTTTGTCCTCGACAATGAGCCAGTCAAAGCGTCTTCCGGCACACTGGGAAAGCATGGGACGAGACGGCTTTATGAAGGTGGAGTTGAGTGAGTCCAACCCGTTGACGGCCTTTGAGTACCGGCACGTCGAGTCCAGGGTGGAGGAAACGCTGTCCAATAAGAGCATCCAGTCCATCTACCGCATCCAGAACGTGGCATTGTGGGAACAGTATAGCGTGTAAGTGTAGAGAATGTAACATCTGCCGAATCTGACACATGTTAGGCTTTGTCGACAGATTACAAACAATCAACTTTAGTCAATACTTTTACAAACACATTAGGGCCATTTTATATAAATACAGGGATGATATTTGGCTTCTCATGTCATGTACTTGTATCTCATCGTGTGCCCTGAAAAGGTTTGAGATGTTCATTGGAGAGAATTTGTTAACGTTTTCAAGTAAAACATGTTATTGGGCAAGAAAATATAAAACTTCAACGCCAGAGAATAACCAGTCTCGATTATCCAACGAAACAAATTTCATTGGGTGTAAAAGGCAAATAGCGGTGAAATTATGGATCATTTAAAATCAGTTTTGACACCAGACAACTAATTTATTTATTATATTTCTTTCAAAATCATACGTTTGTCATTGATCTTACTTTGGATTGAAATGACGATTTAATATTTAAAATACAAATATAATATTTAATTTCTTAATAGATGATAAATCAAGATAACTGAAAAATGTACACGTGCTCAGTTAAATACAATAGGACGGCTGTCACTCATATGACGACAGAGTTCTATTACTTTTGCAAGCCTATTGTAGGCTTCAACCAGGGAACAGTCATTTTGTTATAATTTGTTAATTTGTTGATACAATAAAAACGACCAAAAACCTTTTGATATTCATAAGAAAGCTCTGCCAAAAACAGAGTCGATTGTTCGATTCCGACCATATCATGAGTATGAATCACTATCAAATAGCGATGATACCAGGTGTTCGCGAAAAGGTGAGCGTATCCTGCCCCAACGGTGGCCCCTGTCACAAACACATGCAAACACAAAGGCAAGTCAATTGTTCTCCTGAAAAGAGCACAACAACAATAGTTCACAAAAGTACAACAACAAACAGTTCACCAGCAACAGCACATTGCTAGACACTGTTCTTATCACTTATGTCTTGCGGTTGCTATATACATGTATATGTACATATTAAAGTGCTTTCTAAAATCACAGTGCCACTCACTTAAAAACTATTCTCTTCTGCGTCTTGTCCGTGTAGCCTCACACATATATTTCTGTTACTTCAAGGGCCAAGGGCAACATGGAACGTGAGTACGGCCGTGGTCTTGCCAATGAAAAGCAACTCTTTCACGGAACCACACCAGACTCGGCCGATATCATCCCGCACCAAAACATCGACTTCCGGTTAGCTGGAAGTAGAGTGGGCGCCATCTATGGCCAAGGGGCGTACTTTGCTGTGGACGCCAAGTATTCGGATGGCTACGCTAAAGAAGATGCCCGTCGTCACAGGTTCATGTTCTTGGCTAAAGTTCTTGTGGGGAAGTCGAAGCAAGGAAACCGAGAGTTGAAACGTCCCCCAGTGTTGGATTCCAGCAACAAAACTAAACTCGCTGACTCAGCATGTGATAACGAAACAAGCCCGAGAATCTACGTGATTTTCAGCGAAAGTCAAATATACCCAGAGTATCTGATTGAATATAACTGATTGTCATTATGTCCGCCCTGTGTTTGTATTGGCTCTAGAATAGTTTTCTTATTATTATGTTTACAAATTTGATAGTGATTTATAAACAAAATGCTCCTGATATAGTCGGAATCGTACCACCGATTCTGCTTTCAGCAGATATCTTATGGATGTGAAAAGGGCTCTGTCGCTTCTATTTAACTGAAGGGATCTTAGAGAAAGAAATTCATTCACTTATATGACAACTGACCGGGATCAAAGTATTCAAATGTAACTCATGCGAGTCAAGAAAGGTGTAGTGCAATCTGTCCCAGATTTAACCAAATTTCAAATGTCTACGAAACTCTTTGACAGAAAATACCTGTATTTTGAAGATTTTGAGGCACATTTACTCTGTAACAACTCTTTATGATAGAGTTTCTGTAATGATCACGAAGTTTGTAATTTACATTCATACTGAATAAATATCAAATTGATATGTACAATATGATCCATTAATGCATATGCGTAAGGTCGACTAACGAGATCGGGTGGTCAGGCTCGCTGACTTGGTTGATGCAGGTCATCGTATCCCAATTGCGCAGATCGATGCTCATTATGTCAATCACTGGATTGTCCGGTCTAGTCTCGATTATTTACAGACCGCCGTCATATTATAGTTGGAATATTGGATAGCGGCGTTAAACAACAAACAAAGCATATGGGCAAGGAGTTTTACAATACTGCCGAAGACAGAATAACTTATGTTATGGTCAACCATATTTTGACATGGCTGTTGGGCGGAGAGGTATGTGTGGCTAGTCGATCAATGCATTACACCGCTAGGGTGTGTAGTGTCCATTGTTTCGGCATGTGCTTTTCGTTATAACTATTTGTATGTATTTACAAGTGTCGAGGTTGAACGAAATGATGTGGACGAGAGGGGCGTAAATCCTGGGTCAGGGTTTTACATTATTGTGTAAAGTGCATCGTGTTCGTCGTTTACGTGGTGTAGATAGGTTCCCCCTCCCCCCATCCCTCTGAGGATGATATGGATTCAACGTTCGAGGAAGACATATCGCCCTCAATGCCCTGGGTCGCTAACGTATACATTGTTGATTATTCTCAATACCTGTACTCGGTTACAATGATGCGTGCCACGTGTAACTCCCTGTTGTTTGTCTTCCATAATTCAATCATTTGTATGATAATATATTTACTGCATGCTATAATACAATACATGTAATTGTGCCTATTTAACTCTCAACACTTTTTCTTCGGTCAGGAGCTTTTCAAACTTGTCCATTGTTGGAAGTTCATAAAAAAGGGTTTAATATAGTTCTTACGAAGAACATAAATGTTTGTCCTCAATTGCAGTAGTATTTCCCTCAGGCAGAATACACTTAGTCTTTATAATTATTATTGACCAGTTTCAATTAGCAGATTAAAATTGTTGCGTCGGAATTTCGCTATTAAAGTCCGAAATATGAAGTGGTAAGTCCAGTGTTAGATATAGTTCGACATCAAGAAGAGATTTGATGCATTATATGTACATGCATATGAACATTTTCGGTTCGAATAAAGTGATGATTGGCAGTCCTGAACAAGATTATCTTTAAGTCTTTGTTTGAATTCTGATAAGAAGTCGGTGTTCCCCAATGTTTCAATACTGTTCCAAAATCAGGTTTAAGCAAAATATTTTGTATCTTTGTTGCCGAGTTTTGTCGTCAAGCATCTCGGGTAAATTTCAACATTCTGTAAGGTTGATGTGGTAGTTTAGATGTATCCATGTGAGTGATTGTGCACCAATAATTGTTCTCTTTTTTTGTACATACAAGTCGCAGACATATGCATTCTCCTGACACCATTGCAAATCATATACTATAATTATGGTTATATTACTTTCAGACTTCAATTTGAAAGCATTATAATAAATATAGAAAAACTCATATGTGTTTGTTTGTTTATCAATCCTTTTTTTTCATTTATGTTGACATAAACCATGTTGATGTATTTTAGTGATTTGTTGCAGAGACTGCTTTGTTGAAATGGTGGAAACAAACATCTGTTGTATTTATTATTGGGTAGAGAACTTAAGTTTTGATTTTTTTTATCAAGATGATTAACATAATGGTAACAATGATAATAGGACAAATTTGACCAAAGGAATAAAGAAAGACAACTGAAATAATTGACGATAAAAATTGTAATAAAGGTACAAAATAAGTTGTTAGGAGATACAATTTACAATACGTAAAAAGATAAACAAATAGATAAATGAATACATAAATAAATAAATAAACATGTTTCCACTTTAATGGTATATGTATTTTTTCATGCTTCATTATCTTTTCTTGGTTCGAAAGTATTTATCAAACGTTCACATTTAAACGAAATATTCAATGGAGTAAGATTTCATAAGTGTATTTAACGCTTCTTTTTACAGTATTTCAGTTAAATCAGTTAAACTTAAGATGAAACAAGTCAACATACAGTGCATTGTGCTGACAAATCAGGTGCCATTACCGGGCTGAATCGGGGATTCGAACCAACAATCAGGGGATTCTGGAAGCAAAGGGACGCAACTGCGAACAGGAACATCGGTCTTCGTATTCTGTGATCTATACCAGATAAGCATGCCCATATTGACGAATCCAGCCTTTCACCTGCAACTGAGCGACCAGATAGGTCAGAAACAGGTATACGATTATATCTGAGCTTTTAATTTACTATTTTATATAAACACGACCGCCTCCGTGGTCCAGTGGATAGGGTGGCTGTTCGGAGAGCGAAAGATCAGTGGTTAAATCCCCTAACCGCGTCATACCGACAGACGATAAAAGATAGTATTTGTTGTTACCGCGCCTGGCACTCGGCATCAAGGTGGAACAACAAGGATTGTTTAGTGTGTGTCTGAGTGGGATATGCATGTTCACAAATGCTGCTTGGTTTCTTGGTGGACTAGAACTAAAAAAAGCGGTATAAGTTGGGTATATTTCAAGCAACCACACACACACACGCGCATGCATGTTCGTTGCTAGTTAAGGGCAATGAACTTTAAAGTTGATATATATTGTAGCAACTCTATTTCTATCAATGCATTTATCACACGGGTCGACACTTACTAGCACCTACACAGGTTGGTCTCCAAAGACCGCCACCTCCCTCCCCGGATCTCCTCATCCCCCTCCCGCCCAGGATGCCTCTCCCCAAATAGACGCCAACCGGAACCGAATCTGAATTTCAAATCCTCCCAAGACTCCCGCCGTATTTAATTCGATGCAGACTCCTTTCGTCCAATCACGCGATAACATTGTTCAGATTTACAAAGCAATCGAGGAGACCCATTTATAGCAACACCTTTTGAGCAACCGCCACATGTATAACCCATTGAGCAACCGCACACAGGTGGCATTTAAACCCACTAGACTGTGCCGACGTCAGTAACGATATCTAAAACCCATCAATATGCGCTGTGTGCTTAAACGGCCTCTGAGTGTTTGTCCCGAGACAGATATGCCTGTCTCGCATTTATAGTTATTTCTGTCGCTGGGTTTTCCAGCTGGCATAAAGCCAAGTTTGTGTTTCTACTTTCGGTTTAGTTGGATCGTACTGTTCACAAGGAAGTCCGTCTCTTTCCTGTTGAGTTTGTGTGTATCACATTTGTGATATCTAGGTAAGTCTGATTTTCATAATAACACTATCATAATCATAATAAGCCTCTAGGTTATACATTAGACACTCAGAATACGTTGTGTTATTGTGGGAATATGGGAACTGAGCGTGTTCGATCTTGTCATGTCGACATCGTCTACAGCACAACATGTCACGGCAGTGCTATCTATTAGCCCAAACGGAATGCGTGTTCCTCAACTGAAACATATACGTTAAAAATGATATGATATTATTTGTATTAAGTGTGGATGTTTAATTGGGCTGACTTGGAAATATAAATAGATGACCTGATTATTGACGTGTCCTCGGCCTGGTGGGTTAGACTGGAGTCAGTCGCTGTTTAACTTTAAACAGTTAAAGTATGTCTTTTCCCTGGTGTTGTTTCCCTGTAGTCAGTTGATTGATTCATCGTTTCGGGTCATGTTGTCAGTTGACTGATTTACTGTTGCAGGTCAAGGTGTCAGTTGATTGATTTACTGTTTGGGGCCATGTTGTCAGTTGACTGATTTACTGTTGCAGGTCATGTTGGCAGTTGATTGATTCACTGTATGGGGCTATATTGACAGTTGATTGATTCACTGTTTCGTGCCATGTTGTCAGTTGATTGATTCACTGTCTCAGGTCATGTTTTCAGTTGACTGATTCACTGTTTGGGGCCATGTTGTCAGTTGATTGATTCACTGTTTGGGGCCATGTTGTCAGTTGATTGATTCACTGTCTCAGGTCATGTTTTCAGTTGATTGATTCACTGTTTGGGGCCATGTTGTCAGTTGATTGATTCACTGTTTCGTGCCATGTTGCCGATGGTTTTATTCACTGTTTCAGGACATGTTGTCGAATGATAGATTCACTTTTTCAGGTCCTGTTGTCAGTTGAATGATTCACTGTTTCATGCCATGTTTTCAGTTTATTGATTCACTGTTTGGGGCCATGTTGTTAGTTGATTCATTCACTGTTTCGTGCCATGTTGTCAGTTGATTGATTCACTGTTTCGTGCCATGTTGTCAGTTGATTGATTTACTGTTGTAAGCCATGTTGTCGATTGATTGATTCACTGTTGCAGGCCATGGTGTCAGTTGATTGATTCACTGTTTCAGGTCATGTTGGCAGTTGATTGATTCACTGTTTCAGGTCATGTTGGCAGTTGATTGATTCACTGTTTCGTGACATGTTGTCAGTTGATTGATTCACTGTTTCAGGCCATGTTGTCGATTGATAGATTCAGTGTTGCAGGCCATGGTGTCAGTTGATTGATTCACTGTTTCAGGTCATGTTGGCAGTTGATTGATTCACTGTTTCGTGTCATGTTGTCAGGTGATTGATTCACTGTTTCAGGTTATGTTGTCAGTTGATTGATTCTTTGTTTTGGGCCATGTTGTCAGTTGATTAATACACAGTTTCGGCCATGTTGTCAGTTGATTGATTCACTGTTTCAGGCCATGTTGTCAGTTGACTGATTCCGCGTTTCGTGCCATGTTGTCAGTTGATTGATTCACTGTTTCATGTCATGTTTTCAGTTGATTGATTCACTGTTTCATGCCTGTTGTCAGTTGATTGATTCACTGTTTGGGGCCATGTTGTCAGTTGATTGATTTACTGTTTGGGGCCATGTTTTCAGTTCATTGATTCACTGTTTGGGGCCATGTTGTCAGTTGATTGATTCACTGTTTCGTGCCATGTTGCCGATTGATTGATTCACTGTTTCAGGTCATGTTGGCAGTTGATTGATTCACTGTTTCAGGTCATGTTGGCAGTTGATTGATTCACTGTTTCGTGACATGTTGTCAGTTGATTGATTCACCGTTTCAGGCCATGTTGTCGATTGATAGATTCAGTGTTGCAGGCCATGGTGTCAGTTGATTGATTCACTGTTTCAGGTCATGTTGGCAGTTGATTGATTCACTGTTTCGTGAGATGTTGTCAGTTGATTGATTCACCGTTTCGTGACATGTTGTCGATTGATAGATTCACTGTTGCAGGCCATGGTGTCAGTTGATTGATTCACTGTTTCAGGTCATGTTGGCAGTTGATTGATTCACTGTTTCGTGTCATGTTGTCAGTTGATTGATTCACTGTTTCAGGTTATGTTGTCAGTTGATTGATTCATTGTTTTGGGCCATGTTGTCAGTTGATTAATACACTGTTTCGGCCATGTTGTCAGTTGATTGATTCACCGTTCCAGGTCATGTTGTCAGTTGATTGATTCACTGTTTCAGGTCATGTTGTCAGTTGATTGATTCACTGTTTCAGGCCATGTTGTCAGTTGACTGATTCCGCGTTTCGTGCCATGTTGTAAGTTGATTGATTCACTGTTTCAGGTCATGTTTTCAGTTGATTGATTCACTGTTTCATGCCATGTTGTCAGTTGATTGATTCACTGTTTGGGGCCATGTTGTCAGTTGATTGATTTACTGTTTGGGGCCATGTTTTCAGTTCATTGATTCACTGTTTGGGGCCATGTTGTCAGTTGATTGATTCACTGTTTCGTGCCATGTTGCCGATTGATTGATTCACTGTTTCAGGTCATGTTGGCAGTTGATTGATTCACTGTTTCAGGTCATGTTGGCAGTTGATTGATTCACTGTTTCGTGACATGTTGTCAGTTGATTGATTCACTGTTTCAGGCCATGTTGTCGATTGATAGATTCAGTGTTGCAGGCCATGGTGTCAGTTGATTGATTCACTGTTTCAGGTCATGTTGGCAGTTGATTGATTCACTGTTTCGTGTCATGTTGTCAGGTGATTGATTCACTGTTTCGTGCCATGTTGTCAGTTGATTGATTCACCGTTTCAGGCCATGTTGTCGGTTGATTGATTTACTGATGCAGGCCATGTTGTCGATTGATTGATTCACTGTTTCAGGTCAAGGTGTCAGTTGATTGATATTCTATTGTAGGCCATGTTGTCAGTTGACTGATTTACTGTTGCAGGTCATGTTGTCAGTTGATTGATTGACTGTTTGGGGCCATAATGTCAGATGATTGATTCAATGTTTCTGGTCATGTTGTCAGTTGATTAATCCACTGTTTCAGGTCATGTTGTCGATTGATTTATTCACTTTTTCAGGTCCTGTTGTCAGTTGATTGATTCACTGTTTCAGGTCATGTTGTCAGTTGATTAATTCACTGTTTGGGGCCATGTAGTCATTTGATTGATTCACTGTTTCATGCCATGTTGTCAGTTGATTGATTCACTGTTTGGGGCCATGTTGTTAGTTGATTTATTCAATGTTTCGTCCCATGTTGTCAGTTGATTGATTTACTGTTGCAGGCCATGTTGTGGATTGATTGATTCACTGTTGCAGGTCATGGTGTCAGTTGATTGATTTACTGTTGCAGGTAATGTTGTCGATTGATTGATTTACTGTTGCAGGTCAAGGTGTCAGTTGATTGATTTAATGTTGCAGGCCATGTTGTCAGTTGACTGATTCACTATTGCAGGTCATGTTGGTAGTTGATTGATCACTGTTTGGGGCCATGTTGTCAGTTGATTGATTCACTGTTTCATGCCATGTTGCCGATTGATTGATTCACTGTTTCAGCTCATGTTATCAGTTGATTGATTCACTGTTTTATGCCATGTTGTCAGTTGACTGATTTACTGTTGCAGGTCATGTTGGCAGTTGATTGATTCACTGTATGGGGCCATGTTTACAGTTGATTGATTCACTGCTTCAGGTCATGTTGTCAGTTGATTGATTCACTGTTTCAGGTCATGTTGTCAGTTGATTGATGCAATGTTTCGTGTCATGTTGTCAGTTGATTGATTCACTGTTTCAGGTTATGTTGTCAGTTGATTGATTCATTGTTTTGGGCCATGTTGTCAGTTGATTAATACACTGTTTCGGCCATGTTGTCAGTTGATTGATTCACCGTTCCAGGTCATGTTGTCAGTTGATTGATTCACTGTTTCAGGTCATGTTGTCAGTTGATTGATTCACTGTTTCAGGCCATGTTGTCAGTTGACTGATTCCGCGTTTCGTGCCATGTTGTAAGTTGATTGATTCACTGTTTCAGGTCATGTTTTCAGTTGATTGATTCACTGTTTCATGCCATGTTGTCAGTTGATTGATTCACTGTTTGGGGCCATGTTGTCAGTTGATTGATTTACTGTTTGGGGCCATGTTTTCAGTTCATTGATTCACTGTTTGGGGCCATGTTGTCAGTTGATTGATTCACTGTTTCGTGCCATGTTGCCGATTGATTGATTCACTGTTTCAGGTCATGTTGGCAGTTGATTGATTCACTGTTTCAGGTCATGTTGGCAGTTGATTGATTCACTGTTTCGTGACATGTTGTCAGTTGATTGATTCACTGTTTCAGGCCATGTTGTCGATTGATAGATTCAGTGTTGCAGGCCATGGTGTCAGTTGATTGATTCACTGTTTCAGGTCATGTTGGCAGTTGATTGATTCATTGTTTTGGGCCATGTTGTCAGTTGATTAATACACTGTTTCGGCCATGTTGTCAGTTGATTGATTCACCGTTCCAGGTCATGTTGTCAGTTGATTGATTCACTGTTTCAGGTCATGTTGTCAGTTGATTGATTCACTGTTTCAGGCCATGTTGTCAGTTGACTGATTCCGCGTTTCGTGCCATGTTGTAAGTTGATTGATTCACTGTTTCAGGTCATGTTTTCAGTTGATTGATTCACTGTTTCATGCCATGTTGTCAGTTGATTGATTCACTGTTTGGGGCCATGTTGTCAGTTGATTGATTTACTGTTTGGGGCCATGTTTTCAGTTCATTGATTCACTGTTTGGGGCCATGTTGTCAGTTGATTGATTCACTGTTTCGTGCCATGTTGCCGATTGATTGATTCACTGTTTCAGGTCATGTTGGCAGTTGATTGATTCACTGTTTCAGGTCATGTTGGCAGTTGATTGATTCACTGTTTCGTGACATGTTGTCAGTTGATTGATTCACTGTTTCAGGCCATGTTGTCGATTGATAGATTCAGTGTTGCAGGCCATGGTGTCAGTTGATTGATTCACTGTTTCAGGTCATGTTGGCAGTTGATTGATTCACTGTTTCGTGTCATGTTGTCAGGTGATTGATTCACTGTTTCGTGCCATGTTGTCAGTTGATTGATTCACCGTTTCAGGCCATGTTGTCGGTTGATTGATTTACTGATGCAGGCCATGTTGTCGATTGATTGATTCACTGTTTCAGGTCAAGGTGTCAGTTGATTGATATTCTATTGTAGGCCATGTTGTCAGTTGACTGATTTACTGTTGCAGGTCATGTTGTCAGTTGATTGATTGACTGTTTGGGGCCATAATGTCAGATGATTGATTCAATGTTTCTGGTCATGTTGTCAGTTGATTAATCCACTGTTTCAGGTCATGTTGTCGATTGATTTATTCACTTTTTCAGGTCCTGTTGTCAGTTGATTGATTCACTGTTTCAGGTCATGTTGTCAGTTGATTAATTCACTGTTTGGGGCCATGTAGTCATTTGATTGATTCACTGTTTCATGCCATGTTGTCAGTTGATTGATTCACTGTTTGGGGCCATGTTGTTAGTTGATTTATTCAATGTTTCGTCCCATGTTGTCAGTTGATTGATTTACTGTTGCAGGCCATGTTGTGGATTGATTGATTCACTGTTGCAGGTCATGGTGTCAGTTGATTGATTTACTGTTGCAGGTAATGTTGTCGATTGATTGATTTACTGTTGCAGGTCAAGGTGTCAGTTGATTGATTTAATGTTGCAGGCCATGTTGTCAGTTGACTGATTCACTATTGCAGGTCATGTTGGTAGTTGATTGATCACTGTTTGGGGCCATGTTGTCAGTTGATTGATTCACTGTTTCATGCCATGTTGCCGATTGATTGATTCACTGTTTCAGCTCATGTTATCAGTTGATTGATTCACTGTTTTATGCCATGTTGTCAGTTGACTGATTTACTGTTGCAGGTCATGTTGGCAGTTGATTGATTCACTGTATGGGGCCATGTTTACAGTTGATTGATTCACTGCTTCAGGTCATGTTGTCAGTTGATTGATTCACTGTTTCGGGCCATGTTGTCAGTTGATTGATGCAATGTTTGGGGCCATGTTGTCAGTTGATTGATTGACTATTTCAGGTCATGTTGTCAGTTGATTGACTCACCGTTTCGCGCCATTTTGTCAGTTGATTGATTCACTGTTTCAGGCCATGTTGTCAGTTGATTAATTCAGTGTTTGGTGTAAAGTTGTCATTTGATCGTTGTTTTTCTGGTTTTGTTGTTACATGTTTTCTTTCTGTTTTTGGTCTTGTCAGCTGATTGTTTTGCTGTCACAGGTCTTGTCCTTATTTGTGTCAAGTCTTGTTTCTTGGTAAGCATTTCACAGTTTGTGATCACGTCATCGTATTGTTTTGTTGTCATATTCATTGTTTATTAACTACTTTTGAGACGCCCAAGAGAACGGTTATGGCACCGACAAACCTCGACACTTCATCATGGTGAATCTGGGATTCGAACCCGGGATGATAGGCTTCTCGGTTTCAGGCAACTTAGAATTAGATGACTTGATCAGTTGTGCTCCCGATTACCACCTGGTGGCCTAGCCTCCAACTAGTAGCAACAACACTCATTTTTCTGATATGACCGACATGGCAAAGGAAATGTAAATAGGGAGATTGCAACTGTGATTTACAAAACATCGGTCTATTATAAGCTGTGATTGCGGCTTTGTTTTCAATAAATTGAGTTTCATTTCTATTTGCTATGAGTTCTATTTCCGTTTATTATGATGACTTGCAGATGCCAGAGCCGGTTTCGCGGCGTAGCCATCACCAATTGCACGATGTTCAAATGCATAAACCATGGTTTACTTTCATTTGTTTTTTCAATAGCACGTGTCTACATATGACTCCACTGCCCAAAACGATGACAGCTACTTATCCCTGTCCGACCAGTGAAGATCGGGGTAGAATAGGTCTTCAGCAACCCATACTTGCTGTGAAAGGCGACTATGCTTGTCGTAAGTGGCGGCTAACGGGATCGGGTGGTCAGGCTCTCTGACTTGGTTCAAGAATGTCATCGTATCCCAATTGCGTGGATCGATGCTCATGATGTCAATAACTGGATTATCTGGTCCAGATTCGATTTACAGACCGCCGTCAGACAGCTGGAATATTGCTGAGTGCGGCGTTAAACAACAAACAAACGTACCCCTGCCCAGGCGTCAGGCGTTCAGTTGCTGAACTTTTACCAGCGTATCCAGCTATTTTTGATTTTGTAACTCATTGTCTGTCATAGCCTCCATAGTGTCCACACACGATGACCGCTACTTACCCATGTCCGGGCATCAGGGTGGTCAGAGGTCCTGATTGGGCGGGGAGAGACCAAGATGGCGGTGAAGGTCACGTGGGAACGGTTGTCAAGATAGAGGCTTCTGATTGGGCAAAAGGAAAAGTGTCCGTTATCTGGGACAGTGGCCGTGAGTTCCAGTACCGGGCAGGGTTTGATGGCAAGTTCGAGCTGCTGGTGTTTGACTCAGGGCCTACAGGTAAACATTCATATATGAAGGTTATCTGACGTCTTGTATAAGAAAAGAAAACTTTACGGCTCCATTCAGAGAAAATATGCATATCATCAGTGACTGAAAAAAAATATCATGTCTCTTAATAAAATACTTTCTTTACAGTGTGTAAATTATTAATAATTATTGTTGTGATATTAATAATGAAGTAAAGTTATATTTCTCATTTGAACAGTACTTATATAGTACAACCGACACGATTTTTTATTGAAATGGTTTTGTCACGTTTGTTCAATTGTATAGTGTTGTGTCAGATTCAAAGTAGTCATCAAATTCCATCACAAATGACATACATGGCTTAAATGGAAGATTGAGTTCAATAAAAGCACGGATCAATGTGAACTCACTGAATTAATTGTTTTGTGAGATACAAAATAGCGAGTTTCATTTTGAATTGTTTAGACCAGGTGTCATTTTAGCTCTTCAAGCCTTAGGTGTGACTTGATGAGCTTCCTTACATTTAGCAGAAACACGGTATTTCAAGTTTCCATTTTCGATCAGTCTGTTCTGTTTACCCTTCAAAAATAATTTTGTGTAAAAGATGGTAACTTACAGAATATGCTCCCATCTCTGTAATGGGCCTTTGTTTATTGTAAAGGAGTTCAACAAAAAGGCTTCACATGTGACGGGTGTGGGGAGGATAACATCGCAGGAATGAGATGGAAGTGTTCGCAATGTACGGACTTCGACTTGTGTACCCTGTGCTACAACACAGAACGCCATGCGACGGACCACGCCTTCCTCCGGTGTCTCACCAATAACTCACCACTGTGAGTATGCGGCTCAGTATCACACCTGTTCATCGTCACAGGGTCGAAGTAAACAAATTAGAAACCATCTATGAAATGCAAATCAAATTCGGGATTGTCAGTAAAATATTCGTTGGGTGTAGGTGGGTAGATGGGGTGTTGGGGGTTCTTAGATAGAATAGTGTCACTGTTTCCAGACATTCTTTATCGTCTGGGTGGAGAAACGTTTTCTTTTTCCCATAAATTACTCTCGGGCCGCCAAACCTGAGGCAAACTTATTTTGTGAGTCTGTTCTACATCAATTATTTAGATCCCTTGGAGATCTAGTTAGGAACCATTTGGTGGTTTGGTTTGTGTTGGAATTCTGGGCAGTTTGATAGGCACTAAATGGTTGATCGGGAACAGAGAGCATGTTGTGATGGGGACACCGGGTATCCGTGTTTCTCCGAAGGACATATCAACCAATTAAATGGTATCCTCGATGTCTAACACAGTGAGTGAGTGAGTTGGGTTTAACGCCGCTTTTAACAGTATTCCAGTTATATCACGGCGTGTCAGCTTAATGTGGGAGGAAAGCCCGAAGTAATGCAGGTCTCAGACGTTTACCACTTCGGTGAAACCCAGGAGCACGGGTATGGTACTGACAAACCTAGAAACATAATTGGGGCGAACCGGGATTCGAACCCACAATCATAGGTTTCTGGCGTGCCCAAGGGACGCAACTCTGCACAGCGAACAGCGGCGCCTTAGACGACTGGGCCACCCGTGCCCCCTTTAACACAGAAGATATTGTACATTTTATGCTTGGGTCCAACTAAATTATGCTTGTAATACACTGGAATTCGCATTTTGCTGTCAGGATCCCGGAAGTGACTCGAATAGTGCATTTCGAGATGCGTATTTCCGAAATAGATTGTTTTATCATAATCTCGGCGGCATATGTATACAAGGTGATAGTATATTCAATAACAGAATTGATGAATCGTAATTCAACTGCATAACATGAAACGCGTGCCTGTATTTTGCTAATTTTGCTCAGTCAACGCGTGGCTTGGCGATCTCGAGATCGTCATGTTTATTTCACGAGTTGTAGTGGTGTTTGCAGCACCACGCACTGTCGTCTTGCCATGTCCAGTAGTCATAATGCACTCTTTCTGTTATACGTTTCATCCAGACATATTACGATGTGAATAAAAAAAGTTTACAAAGTAACTCGTGTGTCAGGGGCGAAAACTCTATTCAGTTTGTACAGTGACAGATAAAATCTTACATTTCCTTCAAACATCCCCTAATTAACTGAATAAAATAGAATATAGGTAAGAATATGTGGAATATTAAAGATAAGTTAAAATTAAAAAATATAATTATTTTTCCAAAACCTGACAATATATTCAATGAATAACTATAATTGTAATTTGGACTGCTTATAAACCCAATAATAAAATTCTATTCCTGTAACCCAATCAGGTAAATAAAAGTTTTGTAGGTTCAAATTAAATGATTCTGATCAAACTTAATGTTGGATATTAGTGCGTGTCTGTTAGCAGCTCTCTAAAATCATTCGGATTTCCCATACAGTAAACTACGGTTATTACGAACACGCTTATAACCAACTGACTTTTTTGGTCCCGACTACTTGCTATAGTTATGATGCACATATGCTTATAACGAACTACGGTTATAACGAACTAAAATAAGAAGTCCCTTTGCGTTCGTTATAACCGTTGTTTACTGTATTTAACAATCCGGATTTCGCATATTTTTGACAAAGCAAAACAAAACAAGATTGTCATGTCTTTGTGTCTCACAATATGAGCATGTTCATCAACTTCAGTTATTTAGACTTTTTAAAACTGAACATGGCATGACCGTGGCCAAGGCGTCTTTAACAGTCAAAACTACCTAAAATAATTCCCGGAGAAAAGAATTTTCTTGCTTGTAAGCAAATGTTAACATGTCTTTTTTAAGAATAGTTTCAATCATAAATCATAAGTCGGATAAGTGAGAGAATATGATTTTTCACTTCTAGTCCTATGTCAGTGAAATACGACAGGAGACACAGAGTTCCCAGGGTGTCACTACCAGCAGAATGCTCCTCCAGAACTCAACCACGTGGGGTGTTTTCAGTTTTCACAGCATATATCTTCTCCATGAAGAAGGGGGCACGGGTGGCCCAGTCGTCTAAGGCGCCGCGATTCGCTGTACAGAGTTGCGTCCCTTGGGCACGCCAGAACCCTATGATTGTGGGTTCGAATCCCGGTTCGTTCCGATTATGTTTCTAGGTTTGTCAGCACTATACCCGTGCTCGTGGGTTTCACGTGGGTTTCACGAGCACGAACGTCTGAAACCTGCATCATTTCGGACTTTCCTCCCACACTAAGCTGACACGCCGCGATATAACTTGATTACTGTTAAAAGCGGCGTTAAACCAAACTCACTCACTCTCCAGGAAGAAAGGGAATCAACAGAGGGAACACTGTAGGCTGTGTAGATGTTCACTGTGTTGTGTTGTCTCTCTGGACTCAAAGTCTGAAATATATATTTCAATATTGTAAAAATAGTTCTACTTCTATGATATTTTTATATACAATGCATATTCATCTTTTCTCAAAATATTTCTTATTCAGCAAAATATTTTCACTATTTTTTCTGAACAGAGAAGTTTTGGGAAAATTAATCAAAGTGAATAACATAACATGCTACTTTAGAACAATCTTGAATCAATTCATTTGATATGTCTAAAACCCAAACAGTATAGAGTTCGTAAACACAACAGATGCATCACTCTAATGACACAGAGTGTACTACAGTTCTTAATACAATGTCACATGCAAAGCCACTCTTGTTTATGTGATCAGGGCGCCGTTGTACAAAACAACCTTAGCGCTACGAGTGTCGTAAGTCTATGTTCAGGTATGGGAGTTACGATCACCTCAGCGCTAAGATCGCTTTGTACAACGGCACACGGGTTTTTTTTGTTGACATGTGTTGATATTTGCTTTGTGTATGTTATCATGAAATACCTTGTTCAGTATGAACATGCTGAAAACATAATTCCGCTGGCGTGATATAACGTCAGTGTGCCACATTGACACAATGGTTTTCAGGGTAGGGTCACAAAGAAAATATAATATGAATAAAACTTGTATTTTTAGTCAAATAAAATGTTTATCTCATCTTGTGGTTTACTTAAAGTGAAAATATCAACTCTCACAAGATGAGATAAATACATAGTATTATGATTATTTGACAAAGAAAACACATTTCCTCAATGTAATTTTTTTATTTCTTGTCCTGATTGAATTTTCAAATTATCATAATGATCACATTACTTGACATGATTTAAAAAAAAGTTATAAAGATTGTTTACCTTTACAAATAAATATTACATCATAATAATATAATTATTGCACACTGACACTGTAAGCACAACTATCACCTAACATATCCATGATTAATAATCAGTAATGTTTTATTTTCTTCTAAAGGTACATAAAACCAGATAGATTTCATAGTTAATAATGGAATAAATGAGTTATGATTGTCATAGCCATGGGAATTACACAACACTCATAATTTTTTACTGTTTACAGTAAACTCCGTCTTTGTTTCAAAATTTGAAATATCTCTGTTCAAGACGTATCTGTTTCCGTACATTACATAACGATAACATGGATTCACATGTAGATTGAACATGTACTGCCCATTAATTAGTTGGGTGATTGTTCATTTAATGACATGATTATATTTGTACAGAGAAGTAAATATAATTTTAATTTAAAACTGTTTTATATTTTATATACGTCAACACCCCCTTTGTAATATTTCAGTAGAAATAATACACCTCATACCAACTAATAATTGACAATTAAGATAACTACTGTTCACGGTCAGAGCAGCACCAGTAGATCTAGAGGTCAAATATTTTATTAGAATGTATTTGAGTGCATTACATTTTACATCAAATCAAAACTGATGCAAATTCTGTTTTGGTACGATCGTAAATTCTTAATAGGTTACGATAAGATAAACAAAATAAACATATCAATTTAGTTAATTTCTGACATCTATCTGGACATGGTCAAAGGTCAATATTTTCTATTCGCCAAAGACCCAGCTGACTTCAAGTACAACTCGCAACGTTGTTCAAACTCACACGTTGGCTAAAACAAATGAATCTATAACTTCTAGTGAATGGTGCGTAAAAAGTGAAATATTCATTACACAATTCCAGTAGGATTTGTATTAAGTCGTTGTTCAGCTATTGTGTACGGCACTCGGTGTTGGTTACCAGGTGGTCATGGATATATGAAATTGAAATCACAGCAGAAAGTCTAGACTCACTTACTTCAGTGAGGAGACCAGATGACAATACAATTCTTTGTCAGTGATAAGAATGTGAGCTGTTCAATACTTACCATAACTGTTGCCGTGGTCAAATTGTCACAGTTTGTCCCGGTTGTTTTGTTGGCATCGCCATATGTATCATGTGCTATCCAGGAGTCACCCTTTGCTCCCCAAGCCTTGCTTTCAAACCGGAAGTAGCGAAGTGTGAAAAAGGTCATTAGCTATAGAAACTATGAAAATTATTATAATGCTTTTAAGCATGAAATCTCATTTCCTAAAGCTATTAAAGAGTGAGTGAGTATGGTTTTACGCCGCTTTTGGCAATCAATCATCAAGCGATGTCGCGGCGGGGTACACCAGACGGGCTTCACACATTGTACCCTAGAGGGGAGTCGAACCCGGATCTTTGACCTGACGAGCGAACGCTTTAACCACTAGGCTACCCCACCGTCCGCTATTAAAGAAGTGTGTAGGGTTTCCATTTAGCAATCATTTCGTGACACTCTTTACAACTACTTTCTTGATGGCGATTATCTTCTTTACCGCATGGTCGATATCACGTGACACTGACGATAAGGTTTTACCACAAAAGAAAATTTGATTAATTTTAATTGAATGAAATAAAGGATTGAGTTGATATAAATATAACAACCTGTCTAACCTCATCGTTTCAGTGTACGAGTGTCGCCTCGTTCCGGCACACAAAGAATCCGTGCCATCGGTCTGTTCAAGGACTCAAAGGTGATGCGTGGTCCTCACTGGAAATATGGAAGTCAAGACGGTCAGTTGTCAAATATGATTCTGTCTGCTATTCCATGAATAAGAGGGATCTACTTTCAGAATCTGTAAACTAACACTAATCACCTTCATTTTTCGATCCCTGTCCACGTCATACCAAAAAGACGTTAACAGATGGTACTTGTTGTTACCCAGTCTGGCGCTCGGCATTAAGGGGCTAAAACAAGGACTGGTCGGCTCGGAGTCAGTTTTCTGTGTCTGAGTGGGGTATTCATATTAAACTGCGACATGGTATCTCAGTGAGCTAGCACTATAAATCGGCATCAGTCCGGTCTAGTACAAGCAGCCACACACACACACACACATACACACGTGCATGCACGTCGCTATATAAGTGCAATAATCTTGAACGCGACGTAAAACCCGATTTCACCTCACCTCATTTTTGTCAATTAAGTATGAAGAAACATACATAAAATATTTATTTGATAAATTTCACTGTTATTTGGTTCCTCGTGAATATCAATATTGGTATTAATATCCGTTGGTTGTTTTGTCAGTCTCATAAGCCAAGGGCCTGTATCAATACCATTATTATGCCTCCAAGTGAGATTGACCAATCAGAGAGCAGAACTACTGACCCCACATGTATACCGTCAGTAAAAATCCAAGATGGTTGATACTCTGCCGAAACAGATTCCACTTGGCGTAAAGGGTAAATAGCTGTGACAAATTATATGAAGTGACCACTGAAGAGGGTAAGCATGTCCTGTCGTACCGGTAGCACCCACCATTCATACATGTGCATAAAAAAGAACGCCATATACTCAAGCATTACATCTTTGACCACTGCGTCTGTAGGTGGAGAAGGCAACACCGGGGACGTCGTGAAGCTCGGGTCATGGACGGGAGGGTACAGTCGGGGAGCTGTCAATGTGAGGTGGGAGGGGGGGCAGGACAGTCTGAAGGGCTACCGCTTGGGTGCTCAGGGCAAGGTGGAACTCGTCACGGTGGACGAGAAACAAGGCTGGAGGTATTACAAGGCTCATCTCCCGGTCCTCGGTGAGTTGATAGTAACGCCATTCCGGACATTGAGGCGAAATTGTATAATTACTTCGTCCAGTATTTTTTCTGGAGAATTTTTGTATTATTTTCTCCATCGTTGTGTGTATCAAATTGTTAATATTTTTCAATAAATTTCAAAAAATACTCTTTTGACGCAATCATGCTGTTTGATTACAACAGGTGTCTGTAGTTTAATTAAGACGAGATAAGGTACTATCCTAGCAACTAGTTGTACAAATAACTACCACAATATCCACATGGCTACGAGGGTTACGTTATATTGGACAGCGTGGGTTATGAATTTGTACCCCTAAGGAAAGGGACAACTATTTTCACTGAAAAGTGTTAGGCTAAATCGTATTGATTATTTGATTTAAATTGTTGCCTTTAGCTTTTCTGAGTCTCATTATTAATTTTGTGTAGTTTCTTTTGTTGTTTGTGGTTATGGTAGTGTAATCACAGCTAGGTGCTAATTATCTACTTAGGCGTGGATATGCGTCAGAGATATATATTTCTTTAATTACTCCTAGCTAAATTTAGACCAGTCTCATCTACACGTTTGATATCAATATTTCAAACGATGTAGGAATATATCTTTAAGCTTGGATAAATGTTTGAAAGCTTTATTTTAGCAATATCATTTACATCATAACATTGACATTAATCAGGTGAGGACACGTCCCAAATTTGGAAGCAGACGAATATTTTGAAAATGTGTTCACAATTGCAGTTTGGTTGTTGTAGATGTTTTGAATCCAAATGACGTTCGCCTGAAAGTTGGGGACAAAGTGAAAGTGGAGGTTGACAAGGATATATTTGAACGCATGCATAAGGACATAACAGGTCTTCGTGAAGGCATGTCACAGGTACGGAGCAGTCGTCTCTCCCATGTTGATTGTTCCATTGTTATAAGCGTCACTGCGTGGTTATCCGTTGTTGGTGAAGTCACAGATGATGTATGCGACGTCATAATCGCATCTGTGGTCAATGACATTGGTGACGAATTCCTCTATCTTTTCAAAATTGTTTTATATATATATACATATTTATTTCGACATCTGACCTAAATTCTGAAGGAAAACGTGTTTATAAGGAATTAAGAACGAGGTCTTTTTATTTCCAGTGTTTGGGAGAGGTTGGTACCGTCGTTACTCTTCCCCCAAAAGACGAGCGCGTCATTATCGCACAGTACCAGGATGCAGAGAAGTATGGTCTGGTTAAGTCCACTTTAACAAGGGTAGGTCGTGCTTTGGCAATATCAAGTAGTCGAGATATCGCATTAACATAACGGTATTATGTCAGGTCTGGTCCTCTAAATCTATTCGAGTTTTTTATCTAACAAAACTGCACTGATCTGGTTCAGTTTGAGATCCAGAGAGAACGCATTACCTTTACGTCTATATAGACCTGTCTTCGCCCATAAGAGTGAGTGAGTGAGTGAGTTGGGTTTAACGCCGCTTTTAACAGTATTCCAATTATATCACGGCGTGTCAGCTTAATGTGGGAGGAAAGCCCGAAGTTATGCAGGTCTCAGACGTTTACCACTTCGGTGAAACCCACCAGCACGGGTATGGTGCTGACAAACCTAGAAACATAATCGGGGCGAACCGGGATTCGAATCCACAATCATAGGGTTCTGGAGTGCCCAAGGGACACAACTCCGCACAGCGAATCGCGGTTCCTTAGTCGACTGGGCCACCCGTGCCCCCTCGCCAATAAGAGCGTCCACTGACCTTAACCTTGAATGTCCGACAAAATGTACAAAAGTACATTCAAACTTACGACGTCACTGTACTTTTGAACAGCATTCACTCACTCGCCAACTCTTCTTTATTAAAGTAGAAGTTTGAAGATGTCGCGTTCATCTCGTTGTTGTAGCTGCACACCTTTGCCGTCGGAGACACGGTGAAGCTCATCACCAACTACAACGCTGCCGTGGAGCTCCAGAACGGACATGGCGGATGGAATGACAAAATGGAAGATGTAAGTGAGTGAGTGTGTGAGTGAGTTTGGTTTTACGCCGCTTTTAGCAATATTCCAGCAATATCACGGCGGGGGGACACTAGAAATGGGCTTCACACATTGTACCCATGTCGGGAATCGAACCCGGGTCTTCGACGTGACGAGCGAACGCTTTAACCACTAGGCTACCCGACCGCCCCTGGAAGATGTAAGTAGTTTGGTGTGACACTAAATCCTGTAAATAAAGGACTGTACCCTACACAGTAACACTGTTCAGCTAATCAAATGCCGGACTGACGAATTGTGAGAATCGTGTGACTTTGCTAGAACAGTGTGATTGTCGGTGTTATTGGTATCTGTATAGCACATCATAAACGCCCACACGCTGTTTTCATAATAATATTCTTACCCATCCATTGCTGGAGGGACCTGAGACGATTTCGAGTGTTCGACACATCCGTGAACAAATTCACACCACGAGAATAATAGTTATTATAAGCTGTAACGTGTTTTTGATATTGACAAAAGAATAATAAAAGAAAGAAATTGGACTAATTTAATTAATTATGAATTGAATAACATAGCTGTCCCTTTACAACAAACAACTTGTCTGCACGTACATACGTTCAGTTTTAACTTTTCGCTTTACAAGAGTTTATTTTGTTTGTTTGTTGTTTAACGCCGCACTCAGCAATATTCCAGCTATATGACGGCGGTTTGTAAGCAATCAAGTCTGGACCAGACAATCCAGTGATTGACATCATGAGCATCGATCACGCAATTGGGATCGATGTCATGCATCAACCAAGTCAGCGAGCCTTACCACCCGACCCCGTCAGTCCCCTCTTACGACAAGCATAGTCACCTTGGATTGCCGAAGGCCTATTCTACCCTGGATCTTCACGGGCTGCTATTTTTGTACTTGCATGTTGTAATTTAAAAATACCGAAAAAATTTGGAACACAAGAAACTTTGACACTCAACATTCGGCCAATCTGTTCGACATTTAAGAATTCGACAAGTAAGAGTTCGACACAAGGGTGTTCGACTGTATCATTACCATTCCTGCTACATTTGAACTGGCCTTTCTTTAGTCGTTTGTCACTGGCATTGGGATTCCCTCCTCGTTGTATTTGTAATAGTAGACGGACGATGGGGTAGCTAGCCCAGTGGTTATAACGTCGCCTCGCCTTAACCCTTGTTCAGATCCCCACATGGGTACAACGCCCATTGTGTAAAGCCTATTCCTAGAGTGCTGAACCCTGAATGAGGAAATAGTCACAAACCCGGCGTCACAATACGCCACTCACTGTATATAGCCTCCAGCATTTTATACAAGTAAATTATTTCAATGTCATTGCCACCATTATTGCAATCCTTCTTCGTCCACAGTGTCTAGGAATGACAGGCCAGGTGGTTGAGATCGACAAGGACGGGGATCTGAGGGTCGCCTTTGGGCCAGTAAAATGGTTCTTCAGCCCCGTCAGCTGTGATCCTCAGGACAGGGAAACCTTGTCTGGCTCCGGCCTCTCCGTCGGATCCAATAAAAGCACCAGCTCAGAATCTTCTACATCCGATGTGGATGGTAATTATACATCACCTAGACGATACAATATTTTAGCAATAAACCTAACGTATAAGCATTGGTTCATGGATCAAACCACTTGGCCAGAATAGATAACATGGATCGGAATCAGTACCAGCCGCAGTATTATAACGTCCCCTTTGGTGCTATACCTGGATACTGTCCAAAGTGGCTGACATATAAAAGTATTTACCCTTATCTTAGATAAAGAAACTTTAATATTATTTTAACCTGTGCGATATATTTTACAACAGTCCAGTTCAGAGTGTCGACACGGAAGTTGAAACCCTAGTACCTATAGGAATTACAGCCATGCCTCAGTGGCTCATCTGTATTCAGATTTTCTCGATCAACATGATCAGCATTTCGGGGGCACAGATTGTCCAGGGGTCTAAGGCGGTGCAACCAGATAAGCAATGGAACGTTCCTTGTAATCAGGATCAGCTGGGGGAGGGTCGATTATTGGCCTGTCAGCACCGCGCCTGTAGTGGTGGGTTAATCAAAATGGTAAACGTTTAGGACCCTTGAAACTTCATACATGATGAAGACAGACATGATGGCTTTAACGTATTTACACCTCAAAGCGACTTAAAATACCTTTCTCATTCACTGTATCCTTGTTTCCCAGACATAGCCGAAGGTGTGGCTAAGGTCCTGTTCGGCCTTCTGAAACCAGGAGACAGTGTTCTGTATAAGCCGAATACGTCATCTGCCCGAGACCTCGTCATCGCCGTCAGCAACGGCGACACAGAAACAGTGAAAAACATTGTCAAGTCTATTGGTGACAAGGTACATGTTTCGGCTTAATGAGATTAACATCTATGCGTTTCTTTTCTTCCGATACTGAAATAGGTGACTGCACTTATCGTGACAGGATTCGCTGATCGTGGGTTCGAATCCCGGATTCGCCCCGATTAAGATTCTAGGATCTTGGAACGTCTACGCCCTGCGTCATAAGATGGCGCTCAGTGTAATAACTGAATAGGGTCATGGCGGCGTTAGGCTCAAGTCACACACTGACACTTACACTTGTCAGTAGGGTGTAGTTGCATCAAAATAACACAGTTAAAGTTTAACCGGGTATCAATCCCGTTTAATTTCATAACTGGATACCCGGGTATATCCTAGTATCCTAGTTCTGTTTTGTCCCTTACTCTGGGGGAAAACATCACCATTTCAAAATTTACACGATTATTAATGTGCGTAAATGTAATGTACATATAGAAATAATTTATGTTAATGCATGTTTAAGCTCACACAATTGTTTCGCCTTGTAAAGGTGATCATTTAGAAGCATCTACATGTCATCTTCCCAAGGCAAGGGAGTTAACTGACTATAAAAGTCCAATTTAGTTGGTGCCACTAAGAAAATTCTAGCGTAGTTCGGCAAGGGTGGAAACTGGACTTTTGAAGTCAGTTAACACCCTGGCTTCGGGAAGATGATACGAGTAAGTAAAAGCATACATTTCTTCGAGTGTTAGCAGGGGGTACGGGAGGCCCAGTCTAAGGGGCAGCGATTCGCTGCGCAGAGTTGCGTCCCTTGGGCACACCAGAAACCTATGGTTGTGGGTTCGAATCCCGGTTCGCCCCGATTATGTTTCTAGGTTTGTCAGCACCCATGCTCAAGGGTTCCACCGAAGTGGTAAACATCTGAGACCTGCATCACTTCGGGCTTTCCTCCCACATAAAACTGGCACGCCGTGATATAACTGGAATATTGTTCAAAGCTCACTCACTCACTCACACGAGTGTTAGCTTTATGAAAACAGGTGAGGTGATGTGAAATGGGGTTTAACGTCGCGTTCAATATTTTTGCGCTTATATACCGACGTGCATGCACGTGTGTTTGTGGCTGCTTGTACTAGTCCGGACTGATGCCGATTTATAGTGCTAGCACACTGAGATAGTCAGACACAGTATACTGACTCCGAGCCGACCAGTCCTTGTTTTAGCCCCTTAATGCCGAGCGCCAGACAGGGTAACAACAAGTACCATCTGTTAACATCTTTTGGTATGACGTGGCCTTATTACTTTGAAGGCGACGTTTCGGTATAGATCCTTTTTGGATAATGAGACAATGATAATGTCTCATTGGCTTCCATCAATGTGTTCTCTGTCCATCATGTTGTGACAGCATTGTCCTTCTGTTATCATCACCTGCTCATGTTATCCCACTCATGTATGCAATTGTTGTTACTGTTTGGGTGAGTGAGTGAGTGAGTTGGGTTTAACGCCGCTTTTAATAGTATTCCAGTTATATCACGGCGTGTCAGCTTAATGTGGGGAAAACCCGAAGTGATGCAGGTCTTCGACGTTTACCACTTCGGTGAAACCCACGAGCATGGGTATGGTGCTGACAAACCTAGAAACATAATCGGGGCGAACCGGGATTCGAACCGACAATCATAGGTTTCTGGCGTGCCCAAGGGGCGCAACTCTGCACAGCGAATCGCGGCGCCTTAGACGACTGGGCCACCCGTGCCCCCTCGTTACTGTTAATCCTCCACCTACTATATATATTCTGTACAATGCCCCTCATTCAGTCTTGCTTGACAACGGTATCAGTATCTATACCGAAACGTCGCCTTTACACTGTATTAAAGAAGTTGTTATCCATACATTGTATCTACTTTGTCATCCGTCAACTTCTAAGTAATGCCTATCAACCAATGTATCAAACTGATATGCTCTGCGGAATAAAATGCATTCACTTTAGTCTGGAATCGGATCCTTTCAGACTACTTATAGGAACGTCCACGTGATTTAATAAGCATTACCCAATACAAATAATTTGTTAATCAAAACAAATAGTGTTAATCCGGACAACACCGTCACCAGGAAAATTGTCCGGATTAGCAAGTGTCCGTATTAACAAATCATTGGTACATTTATATGTCTATAAATCTATGTTATCTACATATCTATGGGTTTTACTATATCTAACGATCTTTGAATGTAGTCTTTGCAGTCATTTACCGCCATATTGTCTAACATTAATCCTTCACCAAGATGTGAGGGGGTTGAAATGAGGTTCAACGACTCGTTCTAGATTTGTGCACTTATATAGCGACGTCACTGCAATCTTCAGAAACGTTTACTGACGTAATTCGTTGCAGATATGACTATCTCTATGTTCTTACAGTGTGATCATCATAACCTAAAAAGTATTTCTTTATATATTTTTGTTATGAATTTATTCATCAGGTAAACGAATCAGTGGATGGCCTCACGGCACTGCAGGCGGCGTGTTACAAAGGTCATGCTGACATTGCCACGCTTCTGATCAGCGCTAAGGCGGATCTAAACAAACCTGATGACGATGGTGATACCCCTCTACACTATGCTGTGTCAGGGTGAGCTGCAACTGTGCTTAACTCTGGCACTCTCAAATTGCCACAATGCAACTCTTGGCTACCCAGAGTGAGTGGGTGAGTTTGGTTTAACGCCGCTTTTAACAGTATTCCAGTTATATCACGGCGTGTCAGCTTAATGTGGGAGGAAAGCCCGAAGTGATGCAGGTCTCAGACGTTTACCACTTCGGTGAAACCCACCAGCACGGGTATGGTGCTGACAAACCTAGAAACATAATCGGGGCGAACCGGGATTCGAACCCACAATCATAGGTTTCTGGCGTGCCCAAGGGACGCAACTTTGCACAGCGAACAGCGGCGCCTTAGACAACTGGGCCACCCGTGCCCCTAGTCTACCCAGAACCCTGAGCTATCAATTACTACGGTTATAACGAACTCATAATGACCAATAATTTTAGTTCGTAATAACCGTAGTTCGTTATAAGCATATATACAGTACATATACCACAAATGGTCGGGTGTTAAAACACGTTCGTTATATCGGTCCGTTCGTCATAAGCGTTTTCGTTATAAACGTAGTTTACTGTATACTACAGCTGTTCGCAATGAAAGCGACACAACCCTTTCCGTAATCGTTAGAAATCTTTGCTCAACAAAGAGTCCATTGCAAGTATGTGGCTACGAGTCACTCTCATATAGGGATGATAATAGGGGTTCACGCAGAGATGAGTGTATCCTTCTCCAGCACCAGTTACAAACACATGCAAAGACAAGTCAATCATGAGTGACATAGGATTGAAATATGAATTTGACAGGGTAATATTTTCATGGTTACCAAAATACAAATTAATATCTTCAAACAACAATTTCAGTTTATTTACAATTTATAAATTATAAACACAGGTAAATACTAAATATATTAAAAAAAGAATATGTAAATTGTTCCATAATAATTGACACCCATGTGGGACAATAGAACATGGCAGAGGTATGACAATATATCGTTACATTACTTATGTTTAAATAAGCACATTCTAGCCCAGTCATGTGAGGCTGTTCGCTGTTGCGTCCAATGAGCAAGCCATATTGTGGGTTCAAATCCCTGTTCGCCCGGATTATGTATCTAGGTTTGTCAGCACCATACCCATGCTCGTGGATTTCACCAAAGTGGTAAACGTCTGAGATCTGCATAGCTTCGGGTTTCCCTCTCATGTCAAGCTGACACGCCGTGATATAACTGGAATATTGTTCAAAGCGGCGTTAAACCAACCTCATTCAATCCTGTCTTAGGTGTAGAAGTAAAGGATCCGGATGCACTGATAAATGTGGTGTAAATACACCATTGCTGTGCTCAGCGTCAACATCTATGTGGCTTTATGTATATAACACAATCTTTATCTTCGACCTATTTTAAAATGAGCCTCTTTAGTTAAGATCGTACACAATTGCGTTCTATTGATGACTGCATTTGTTGTTTAAATCATTAGTAATTATGGACTATGCTTTCCACCTGCACCAACATTCACCCGTATGTACCAACCTGGCTTATCAGTATCAACGCTCGAAGTTTGGATATCCACATCCTTTTGATGTCATGAGTGAGTGAGTTTGACATTACGCCGTTTTTAGCAATATTCCAGCACTGTCACGGCGGTGGTGCTATGAAGGAATGTAGAGACCAGAGGGCTTAAACAATATGCCAGGTTCACATTTAGACCAAGTATCTCTGGCCATATTTTACAGAGAGCAGCCCACCCTAGTAGGGATACTGCTGGACGCCAAGGCACGGGGCGACACGAAGAACAACAAGGGACTGACACCAATACATCTGGCAGTGGCCAAGAAGAACCCCAGTGTCGAGTGTTTGAAAAGACTCATACGGTCCAAGTGTGACCCGAACACACAGGTAGACGCAGCACAATGGTTTAGTCAGTCAGTAGGAATATGCAAGTTACCAAGACAAAATATGAGACTAAATAACTTAATTACAATATATATATATTTATCTTTATATATATATATATATCTTTAAACCATCAGCATATTGTAAAATTCCAATCGATGAGGATTATGTACTTCTATTTGTTTCATTTTCAGAAAACTAACAATTTTCTGAATCCTTAAATTCTAAACCACTTTCTTTGAAATTTATTTAAGGATGAGGACGGAGATACGCCCCTCCACGATGCCATCAGAACCCAGAACCAGCATCTTCTTGACCCCTTCCTGGAATGTGCTCAGCTCAGCATGAGACTCGCTAACTCATCAGGCTGCAACCCTTTCCATGAAGCGTGTACGTCACTGTCTGGGGCCACAGAGTGAGTTCAACTGAAGATCCCTGAATATTGAAGCATGCTTTGTTATCGTATATTCATTGATCATTGAATTTTTGAGAATGTGCTGAAGCATACTTTACTGGTATCGTATTGATACATAATTGAATCACTGAAAAGTGTGTTGAAGTGATTTGGGGACGCAACTCTGGACCCCTAGAGCACGTGTACTTGATTGTTGAGAACAGCCATCATGCTTTTGTTGTTCAGTAGTTTGTTTAACAGGTAAAGAGTCTACATGACAGGAGATCCATGCCAGGGAATTCCACCAACTCCAATTACTGTGATCTTCGTTTATGATGCCCCTTCTTTTTTTAAAAGGTTTCCACAAGCTCTAATACAAAGAGACCCGAAGATTGTCAACGTTCCAATGAACAACGCCCTCACCCCAATACACATAGCAGCTTTCAGGAGCTTTGTGGCACTAGCAGGTGTCCTGGTTAAGGTAAGCCTCTTGTGAATCTAAAGGTTTAAAAGACTAATTAGCTCCTGCGCTTTTCCAAAATTTGCCGATACTGAGAAGTACCAGCATTTATCGGTAATAGTTAAAACATGCCATCAGCTGTGTCAATGTCAATTTTGTTATATCACAACTAGGCTGGCTGCAACGTCAATGCACGAGACGACAACGGCAAAACAGCGCTTCATCTGGCTGTGCAAGGATGTAATCTGCAGATTGTCCAACTGCTCCTGGAATCTGGTGAGTATAGCTTACATGCAGTGTGCTATACAAATCTGTAACCTGCAGAATGTCCAACTGGTCGGCGTGTCTGGCGAGTATAGTTTACATGCAGTGTACCATACAAATCTGTAATCTGCTGAATGTCCAACTGTTTCGCGTGTCTGGCGAGTATAGCTTACATGCAGTATGCCATTCAAATCTGTAACCTGCAGAATGTCCAACTTGTCGGCGTGACTGGCGAGTATAGTTTACATGCAGTGTGCCATACAAATCTGTACTCTGCTGAATGTCCAACTTGTCGGCGTGTGTGGCGAGTATGGTTTACATGCAGTGTGCCATTCAAATCTGTAATCTGCTGAATGTCCAACTGGTCGGCGTGTCTGGCGAGTATAGTTTACATGTAGTGTGCCATACAAATCTGTAATCTGCTGAATATCCAACTGGTCGGCGTGTCTGGCGAGTATAGGTTACATGCAGTGTGTCATACAAATCTGTAATCTGCTGAATGTCCAACAGGCTGGCGTGTCTGCCGAGTATGGACAGTCAAGCAATTAAGACTGAATGCTTTTAAGACAGTTGTATTTCGTCGCGTACATATACCTGATATATTTTTGTAGCATATGGACCTCATTTTTGCGTCCTGGCGTGACAGTGTAATACACTCTACACACTGTCCGGCAAATAAATAATATATACCTTCCTTATGTATATGCCAGTTATGAGATCCGTCTCTTCCTATATCATCATTTACTGATCTGCAGGGGCGGAGATCAACGTACAGGACAAAGACGGCAATTCCCCTCTACACGCCGCTCACATGGACAGCACCCTGCCAGGAGCTGTGAGTACAAGGATTAGTGGATTAATGAACTGTCTGCAATATCTATAGGAGGAGTTGCGTTATGTTAAATGTTGATTTTTGTGAAATGTTGATGATGGAACAGTCTTTTCTGTATATAAAGGAGGTAAACTGTGTTGGATGTTGATGATAGCACTGTCTACACTGTCTGCAGAATGAGTTAATGCATGTTGAATGTTGATGATGGAACAGTCTTTCCTGTATTTAGAGGAGGTATACTGTGTTGAATGTTGATGATGGAACTGTCTACACTGTCTGCAGAATGAGTTAATGCATGTTGAATGTTGATGATGGAACAGTCTTTCCTGTATTTAGAGGAGGTAAACTGTGTTGAATGTTGATGATAGCACTGTCTACACTGTCTGCAGAATGAGTTAATGCATGTTGAATGTTGATGATGGAACAGTCTTTCCTGTATTTAGAGGAGGTAAACTGTGTTGAATATTGATGATGGAACTGTCTACACTGTCTGCAGAAGGAGTTGATGTATGTTAAATATTGATGACAGAACTGTCTACACTGTCTGCAGAAGGAGTTATTTTATGTTGAATATTGATGATGGAACTGTCTACACTGTCTGCAGAGGGAGTTAATGTATGATGAATGTTGATTATGGAACAGTCTACACTGTCTGCAGAGGGAGTTAATGCATGATGAATCTTGATGATGGAACTGTCTACACTGTCTGCAGAGGGAGTTAATGTATGATGAATGTTGATGATGAAACTGTCTACACTGTCTGCAGAGGGAGTTAATGTATGATGAATGTTGATGATGAAACTGTCTACACTGTCTGCAGAGGGAGTTAATGTATGATGAATGTTGATGATGGAACTGTCTTTCTTGACAGTGTATAAAGGAGGAAGTACACTGTGTTGAATGTTAATGATAGAACCGTCTTCAGTGTCTGTTGGAGGAGGCACACTGTTTTGAATGTTGATGATGGAACTGTCTTTCTTGACAGTGTATAAAGGAGGAAGTACACTGTGTTGAATGTTAATGATAGAACCGTCTTCAGTGTCTGTTGGAGGAGGTACACTGTTTTGAATGTTAATTATAGAACCCTCTTCACTGTCTGTTGGAGAGGTAAACTGTGATGAATATTTTTGAGTGGGCTGTCTTTACTATCTATAGGAACAGTTAAACTATTGTTGAATGTTTTTGCTAGAACTGTATTCACTATCTGCAGGAGGGTTCCAAGGACGAGGATTTGGCACTGGAGATACGCTGCCATCTCGCTGAACGTGGAGGAGACATCAGGCTGAAAAACAAGGCTGGGAAGACGCCCCTTGATTTCGTGAAAAACAAAGAAGTCCGCGTTATGTTAGAGAGGTAAGACTGATCATTAATAAGCAGATATGCTCCAACTTTAGGATGTAAACGGTAGGTCAGTAGCACTGAGTTACTTACAAATAATGAATGTAATGCACGAAAGCCGTGTTGAAAAATATCTTTATGGCCATTATTAGACCATTTTTCAAAATGTTTTAGGAAAATAAGATTCTGTGTAGTTAATAGTGGGGCTTAACAGAGACAGACCATAATGTGCTTTTATCTAATGTTTGTTCTGTGAAAGGAAGAGCAGAACTCGTTGTTCAGGATTGTTCTTCAGAACACCCAAGCTCTGAACAGTTTGTAGCTTGATGTACTTATGCAAAACATGAATTCCTGTTACAAATTAAAATGTAATCAAAGACATACATTACATGATCAATTATTACAACACTAAACAGTACATATACCTTTACAACTACATCAGCACAAGACTATTTATTTAACACTCTTACTCAAGATGTGTATGTTGATTTTCAGAATTGCAAAGCGGCCTTTGTCCTCGACAATGAGCCAGTCAAAGCGTCTTCCGGCACACTGGGAAAGCATGGGACGGGACGGCTTTATGAAGGTGGAGTTGAGTGAGTCCAACCCGTTGACGGCCTTTGAGTACCGACACGTCGAGTCCAGGATGGAGGACACACTGTCCAATAAGAGTATCCAGTCCATCTACCGCATCCAGAACGTGGCATTGTGGGAACAGTATAGCGTGTAAGTATATATGATGAATGTAGTTGCACTCGTGCACAAACTGGGGGGCACGGGTGGCCCAGTCGTCTAAGGCGCCGCGATTCGCTGTGCAGTTTCGTCCCTTGGGCACGCCAGAAACCTATGATTGTGGGTTCGAATCCCGGTTCGCCCCGATTATGTTTCTAGGTTTGTCAGCACCATACCGTGCTCGTGGGTTTCACGGAAGTGGTAAACGTCTGAGACCTGCATCACTTCGGGCTTTCCTCCCACATTAAGCTGACACACCGTGATATAACTGGAATACTGTTAAAAGCGACGTTAAACCCAACTCATCACTCACTCACTCGTGCAAAAACCATCGGGCGCACAATTATGATGATACTACAAATGCGTAATATCATCGTCATCAGCACAAGGGTAATGAACCACATATCACACACACAATTGACACTCGTATCCTTTGACAGGCAAGTATAACCAGATATTTTCCACTATATCCGCACAACAATTACAACCAGACAATTGGCATCAATGTTATTCAAGCAAATGTCAACCAGACAGTCAAGTCTTTGAAAAGCATTTAGAAGTGATACACACATAATAAAGAAGTTGACTTCCGTAAATTATATCTTCCTTCACCAGACAGTTGCCACCATAGATTTTGGATCACACCTCTGAGACTGATAGACCGCCTCCGTGGTCTAGTGGTAGAGCGTCCACCCGGAGAGCAAAAGGTCCGGGGTTCGATCCCCGGTCGCGTATTACCAAAAGACGTTTAAATATGGTACTTGTTGTTACCCTGTCTGGCGCTCGACATTAAGGGGCTAAAACAAGGACTGGTCGGCTCGGAGTCAGTATACCGTGTCTGAGTGGGGTATTCATGATAAACTGCTGCATGGTATCTCAGTGGGCTAGCAATATAAATCGGCATCACTCCGGACTAGTACAATCAGCCACACACACACACACGTGCATGCACGTCACTTTATAAATGCAATTATATTGGACCCGACGTAAAACCAATTTCACCTCACCTCTGAGACTGATAAATGAGATTTTCGTTTCGATGTTTTCCCACAGTAAAGAGAGATACGCGTTGATATCGTTTCCCTATGCGCTTGACATCTATATACCGTCCCTTCATGCTAGTTGCTGTCTAGATGTCTGTTGGCATGGCTCAGTTGTGTCTTCAGACCCCAAAAGACTTTATTCGTGTTGTTACTTCCAGGGCCAAGGGCAACATGGAACGTGAGTACGGCCGTGGTCTTGCCAATGAAAAGCAACTCTTTCACGGAACCACACCAGACTCGGCCGATATCATCCCGCACCAAAACATCGACTTCCGGTTAGCCGGAAGTAGAGTGGGCGCCCTCTATGGCCAAGGGGCGTACTTTGCTGTGGACGCCAAGTATTCGGATGGCTACGCTAAAGAAGATGCCAGGCGTCACAGGTTCATGTTCTTGGCTAAAGTTCTTGTGGGGAAGTCGAAGCAAGGAAACCGAGAGTTGAAACGTCCCCCAGTGTTGGATTCCAGCAACAAAACTAAACTCGCTGACTCAGCATGTGATAACGAAACAAGCCCGAGAATCTACGTGATTTTCAGCGAAAGTCAAATATACCCAGAGTATCTGATTGAATATTGTTGATTTTGCAATTTATGTAAGTGTTTTTAGCCAGCAGATTGTGTCTTTGCTGCAATCTTCAAAATGTTCGCTGACAACACTCGTGTCTACAGGACTCATTATGTTTTTAATCGGATTCCTTATCAGTTGACATGCAAAATAATTACTAATTATTATATAAACTTTTAATCCTGAACGCACTGGCACCACTCGTGTTCACAGGGCTCCTAGTATTTTTAATCGGATTCCTTTTCAGTTGACATGCAAAAAGATTACTATAAACCTTTAATCCTGAACGCATTGTATTATCAAATGCTCTTCCGACCTACCATAAAGGGAAATACTGATTTTACATGAAGATGGTACATGTATCTGTAGATTACGAGGGCGGTCGGGTAGCCTAGTGGTTAAAGCGTTCGCTCGTCACGCCGAAGACCCGGGTTTGATTCCCGACATGGGTACAATGCCGTGATATTGCTGGAATATTGCTAAAAGCGGCGTAAAACCATACTGACTCACTCATGTAGATTACGTCATAGGTGAGTGAGGGTTACGTTACAGGGTGACGTAATGGGACATCATGGTGTGTTGTCATGACGACCCAACGGTAGTCCGCAGGCACACGTTCGTCAAAATGTAATTCATATTAAGTTGGGTGTTTTTAGTGTTAAAATGCACATCAAATCAGACATGGTATATTGTGAGAGTCCCAGCAGTAACGTTTGAAACGTGAACATTACTGATTGACGTCGCACATTGACGCTGCGGTTTATACAATCTTTTAACATGTTAAATATATGGATGACTTGTCAAGTTTCCATGGTAACATGCCCATCCATTAGCATTCTTGTACACCTGACATACGTCATAGACATGTGTCTACGAAAAAACTATTATATCCTTTTTCGTGGAAAGCATCAGAAAAGCATCTTACACGAGGCCATGATCAGTATAATACACAATGAATTGGTATTGAGATATAGTTTACTGGTGACTTGAGTTGTTACGTATGGATTTGTGTTTCATGTTAGCAGACACTAGATTGTCACGATGCAACATGTTCGGGTGAAAATGTATTTATCTATATTTGTAGTTGCATGTATACATGAATATTGTGATCACGCATGGCACTTTTTTCTGTTTGTTTGTTGTGTAACGCCGCATTCAGCATTTTCCAGCTATATGACGGCGGTCTGTAAATAATCGAGCATCGATCCACGCAACTGGAATACGATGACATGTATCAACCAAGTCAGCGAGCCTGACCACCGATCCCGTTAGTCGCCTCTTACGACAAGCATAGTCGCCTTCCACGCGGGATCTTCACGGGTCTTTTACCCAAAGTAACATTCATATATGCTAATCCCGCGTTCATACTGTATTAGTACTTTAGACAGTATAACGTTTAAGGTCGAAGATGTTAACAAGATCGGCTAAGCCTACGGGCACGGACGAGTTGCTGACAAACCAAGGATTATAATCTAGAGTTGGCGGTTCGTGTAGGAATTCGACCAAGTACTGGAACATTCTAATGAAACTTGTATGATGAAATTAAAACAGTGAAAATTCCATGACGTTTAATGTTTAGTATACTGTCAGAAGAGGGGTACTGTTTTATCCTTTCACCATTCTCATTGCCACCTGTATTTCTGTTTAACACGAAAGGAAATGTTATGCATAACTCCGTAACGTGTTCAAGATTGCAAATGTAGTAGAAACTAGTTTGTTTTCATTAAGAAGACATCAATATGTGTAGTGTGTTACTTTTCATTTCCAATTAACTCCTATATCAGAATGTGACAGTCAGGATAACACACATATACGTGTACACCCCTTCCAGTTTTAAACCAGGTGTTGTCATATGTAACGGTCTTTGAGGATTGAAGGCCTGTGTTGTAAGTCGCCCGTGTGCTCGTTTCAGTTTCAGGCTAATTCTATCAAGTAGATCATTTATATCAATGCTACCATAAAAGGTGTTGTATATTATTGTAATAAAATGCTCAAATAAAATATATATATGTGCACTATTTTACTCGTGGGAGTTACACAAATTGTACATAAGAATATGTGACTTCCGTGATATGAACAGTAAAATATGTCTGAAGATGCACACTTCCTGTTACATTTCATAAAACAGTAATTACAGCACATCGCCTGGCAATTTATTTTTGTGGCTGTTTTTTTAATTATTATTATTTGTGTGTGTGTGTGTGTGATTGTGTGTGTGATTGTGTGTGTGTGTGATTGTGTGTGAGTGTGTGTGAGTGTGTGTGTGATTGTGTGTGTGTGTGTGAGTGTGTGTGTGATTGTGTGATTGTGTGTGTGTGTGTGTGTGTGTGTGTGTGTGTGTGTGTGTGTGTGTGTGTGTGTGTGTGTGTGTGTGTGTGTGTGTGTGTGTGTGTGTGTGGTAGTTGGGGGGCACACGCACACCCACGTAACCAACGACATACGTCGCCAATGAAATTAACAATATGATTATACAGAAACATACCTTTTAGCCTATGAGGGTGGGGGCCGGTAGGCTCGTCACGCCGAAAGCCCGGGTTCGATTCCCGACATGGGTACACTGTGTGAAGCCCATTTCTGGTGTCCCCCGCCGTGATATTCTGGAATATTTCTAAAAGCGGCGTGAAATTTAACTCGATCACTCTAATATTTAAACATTGAGGTGAGGTGAGGTGAGGTGAAATTGGGCTTAACGTAGTGTCCAAGATTATTACACTTATATAGCGACGTGCATGCACGTGCGTGCGTGTGTGTGTGTGTGTGTGTGTGTGTGTGTGTGCGTGCGTGTGTGTGCGTGCGTGCGTGTGTGAGCGTGTGTGCGTGCGTGTGTGTGTGTGTGTGTGCGTGTGTGTGTGTGTGTGCGTGCGTGCGTGCGTGCGTGCGTGCGTGTGTGTGTGCGTGCGTGCGTGCGTGCGTGTGTGAGCGTGTGTGCGTGCGTGTGTGTGTGTGTGTGTGCGTGTGTGTGTGTGTGTGCGTGCGTGCGTGCGTGCGTGCGTGTGTGTGTGCGTGCGTGCGTGCGTGCGTGCGTGCGTGTGTGTGTGTGTGTGTGTGTGTGGTGGCTGCTAGTACTAGTCCGGATTGTTACTATAGTGCTAGCCCACTGAGATACCATGATTGACAGTGATTGTACACACGGGGTTAGAACAACCGAGGGGGATTGTAGCAGATACCACAAACAAGCAGGTCACTCCGTACAGCCATTACTCAATGGGAAGATGAGATAGCCTTGTCGTTCAAACGTTCGCTCGTCACGTCTTAATGTTGGGTACGAATCCCCACATGGGTACAATGTGTGACGACCATTTCTGGTGTCCCTTGCGTGATATTGCTGTAATATTGCTAAAGGCGGCGTAACATGATACTCACTTACCCACTCACTTATACAGCTGTCAAAAACAAGCCCATTACACACAGATAAGTTTAAACAGATGTTTTAACTGTTCCGGAAGGCATCTCTCGATGTTCAACAAAGCATATCTGGTGTTGCAATACAGATGCCAAGGTAATTCAATACATATCTCAAACTAATTTTGGGCACATAGCATTCATGTAATGTAAAAAGCAATACCATCTAGTTTACTGGTTCCATGCCAGGCAATGTCCGCTGAATCCAATGCTTGTCGTTTCCAGCTGACTGACATTATGATTATTAATAATGATGCATTAAGTACATTGAGTGAATCGTGGTTCGATTGCCGGGATCACTCTGATTATGATCCTTGGTCAGCCATACCCGTGGTCGTGGGTTTCACCAAGTGGAAAACACCTAAGACCTGTATCACTTCCGGCTTTCCTTTCGGCTTAACAGCATACAATGCCTCAGTAAAGCTTTCAAAAAGTTTTATGGTAGACATGTGGAGGACATTTCCAAATTTGACGCATCAGTGACAAAAATGATGTCCGATGCAATTCACTATTTTGGCTTGTACCATATGTTCCCATGTTTTTTTAGGTGAAATATTGACTTGCCTTTGCATGTGTTTGTGACGCTGCCACCGGTGTGGCAGGATACGCTCACCCTTTCGCGAACACCTGGTATCACTATTTAATAGTGATTCATAAACACGTGCTCATGATATGGTCGGAATTGTACTTTGTGCATAGATTTCTATTTGATTTGTCGCTTTATGGTTTTCACTTCAAGCTGACACACTAAGATATAACTGATCATGACATAATGTTAAAAGCGGTGTTAACTCACCTACAGTGTGAGCCTCCTGGGTGATATGTCTTTGTATTTCGATGGAATGGATAGGTACTTATACCATCAGTTAATGGTCCACGGAATCGACTAGTTGTAGGCTATCGTGATGTGGCCGCAATATTACTGACTGACATAAAAATATAAGTTGTAAAACAATTTCCATAATAAAAAGAAATCAGTTGTACTATTCCGATATCACACTTTAAGTATATATTTATGAATCGCCATCAAATAGTAATGATACGGTAATAGTCATGTTCGGGAAACTTTCCTGTCCCACCGGTGGCACCGTCAATCATTCGCTTACTAAAAGTTTGTTTACAGAGGTCATCAAATAGTAATGATACGGTAATAGTCATGTTCGGGACACTCTCCTGTCCCACCGGTGGCACCGTCAATCATTCGCTTACTAAAAGTTTGTTTACAGAGGTCATCAAATAGTAATGATACGGTAATAGTCATGTTCGGGAAACTCTCCTGTCCCACCGGTGGCACCGTCAATCATTCGTTTACTAAAAGTTTGTTCACAGAGGTCATCAAATAGTAATGATACGGTAATAGTCATGTTCGGGAAACTTTCCTGTCCCACCGGTGGCACCGTCAATCATTCGCTTACTAAAAGTTTGTTTACAGAGGTCATCAAATAGTAATGATACGGTAATAGTCATGTTCGGGACACTCTCCTGTCCCACCGGTGGCACCGTCAATCATTCGCTTACTAAAAGTTTGTTTACAGAGGTCATCAAATAGTAATGATACGGTAATAGTCATGTTCGGGAAACTCTCCTGTCCCACCGGTGGCACCGTCAATCATTCGTTTACTAAAAGTTTGTTCACAGAGGTCATCAAATAGTAATGATACGGTAATAGTCATGTTCGGGAAACTCTCCTGTCCCATCCATGGCACCGTCAATCATTCGCTTACTAAAAGTTTGTTCACAGAGGTCATCAAATAGTAATGATACGGTAATAGTCATGTTCGGGAAACTCTCCTGTCCCATCCATGGCACCGTCAATCATTCGCTTACTAAAAGTTTGTTCACAGAGGTCATCAAATAGTAATGATACGGTAATAGTCATGTTCGGGAAACTCTCCTGTCCCATCCATGGCACCGTCAATCATTCGCTTACTAAAAGTTTGTTCACAGAGGTCATCAAATAGTAATGATACGGTAATAGTCATGTTCGGGAAACTCTCCTGTCCCATCCATGGCACCGTCAATCATTCGCTTACTAAAAGTTTGTTCACAGAGGTCATCAAATAGTAATGATACGGTAATAGTCATGTTCGGGAAACTCTCCTGTCCCATCCATGGCACCGTCAATCATTCGCTTACTAAAAGTTTGTTCACAGAGGTCATCAAATAGTAATGATACGGTAATAGTCATGTTCGGGAAACTCTCCTGTCCCATCCATGGCACCGTCAATCATTCGCTTACTAAAAGTTTGTTCACAGAGGTCATCAAATAGTAATGATACGGTAATAGTCATGTTCGGGAAACTCTCCTGTCCCATCCATGGCACCGTCAATCATTCGCTTACTAAAAGTTTGTTCACAGAGGTCATCAAATAGTATTGATACGGTAATAGTCATGTTCGGGAAACTCTCCTGTCCCATCCATGGCACCGTCAATCATTCGCTTACTAAAAGTTTGTTCACAGAGGTCATCAAATAGTAATGATACGGTAATAGTCATGTTCGGGAAACTCTCCTGTCCCATCCATGGCACCGTCAATCATTCGCTTACTAAACGTTTGTTCACAAAGGTTATATGGATATATATGGATTATATTCAATATTCTTAAGAAGGTGTTAGGCTCAAAAGTCTGTTGTTCTTTGTTTGTTTGTTGTTTAATGCCGCACTCAGCAATATTCCAGCTATATGACGTGGGGCTCTGACTGTACATGCTATAGTCACAGCATGGCTGCTGCAGCAGCTGTGGTCATCAGTCATGCTGCAACAACATTGTGACAGGCTGCAGCTCCTGCATCAAGTCAAGTCAAGGTGCCAGTTTCCCATACAGACATCCTCTTAAAACATTCAGTTTTGTTGGTTTGTTGTTTAATGCCGCACTCAGCAATAGTCCAGCTATATGACGGCGGTCTGTAAATAATCAAGTCCGGACCAGACAATCCAGTGACTGACACCATGAGCATCGATCTACGCAATTGGGATACGATGACATGCATCAACCAAGTCAGCAGCCTGACCCCCCGATCCCGTTAGTCGCCTCTTACGACAAGCATAGTCGCTTCTGACGGGAAGCATGGGTTGCTGAAGATCTATTTATCCCGGGTCTTCACGGGTCGACCTGTTGTCCATTTCCAGAGCCAAATTATAGGCAATGTAAAGTGTGTCTGTGTAAATTGAAACAATATCTATTGTTAGATTGACCTAAGAAATTAAAATATGATTTTAAAAACAAATAAATATTTTCCAAACTTGTGGTGGCAATTGTTTCACATTTATGTTCGTACACAGTTAGACAAATACTGCATTGTTTCACAGGGATTCCGGAACCGGAAGTGGTCGTTCTTGTGACGGATGTTGGCGACGCTGGAGAAGCAGGTTCCATCTATATGTTCAACGTCTCTCAAAAGAACCTCACAAAACTAGAAGTCCCAAATATTAACAAGCCATTCGCCATAGACTATGATGTAACTACAGGCCATGTCTACTGGACTGACGTTAAGTTGCATTATATATAAGAAGGGCGAGTCTTGACGGCGTGGATGATGTGGTGGTTGCCTCCTTCAACTCTTGTAAGTATGTGAAGGTGGTTGAGTGGGTTGGGTTAAC